TTCAATTGATTATTAAAATTGTGGTTTTATTTACACTATACCTTAACATATGCGTCTTGCCCGGGCTTCCCCTACACCCCAAACTTATCTCCGAAATTGACGTTTCATAAATACGGATATAATGGAACAAAACACACCTCCCTGAAAGCACAGGGGAATAACGGAACATCACTGTGACATTTTTGCGATAAGGCTACACCGACCGTTTTGTTTATTACTTAGTCGATATCTTTTCTTACTGGTAGGGATTAATACGAGTAAGGCCCCCTTCATATATTTGGTTCATGTACTTACATATGTATACATTTTATAGGTACCTACTTCGGATTAAAGTTTATACTTACTAGAGTTTACATGAATAGAGCTTTAAGATAACAGTTGAAAAAAAGCAGGATTATTTAATGAAATTATCAATTTATTTCTTTAAATTACATGTTTAATATTATCATATTAATTATAAAAAATAAATTTAAAAAGAAAGTATAAATTTAATTATTGGATTTTTTCTTAAGACATAACATGGATATTGTATATGTACAATGTAGGTACTTACCTACATACCAATAACAAAGTGCTACTTATACAGTAATGTATTCGGACTTACCTACTTACAGTTTTATTACTTACCTTATCTTTACATATATTCTTTATTGCGCAAAAAAAATAAAATATACTACATTACCTTTTTACTTTTCTCTTATACCTATAACATATTTCATATATTAATGTACCTAAGAAGAATTATAATAAATCATTTCATCACATATATTTATATTTTTAATATGTATATATAGCCAGATAAAGATTAAAAGAAAACGAAAATATACGTATCTACATAATAAAAATTATCATAGTTTCACAGCGATTTTAAAATTAAATAGGCAGTTTTTTATCTAGAAAGTAGAAAAATTCAGGCACTCATAATTGACTGTCAGATTTTCCAAAAAATGTTATATATACCTACTCACTTGTTCGACATTAATACGACATATCCACCCCGTCCCGACTAATTTTGAGTGCCGTCAAATAGACACATCTATTATCTGATACGGATCTACTTCATGAAACATTAATGTTTTCCCGCGACTGACAGATGGCCTTCTGATACACCGAATGACATTTTGCCACTGATACATTAAACGCCAGGGGAATGACGTCTCTATATTCTGGACGTGACGGTGTAAATATTAATAACTCATCTGTAAAGAGGATTGTGTTTCGAGGTGTCATATTCGCGATGAGAAGTGGGTGGGCTTATAATTAAGAAATATACCTATGTCATCGTGTTCCACTGATAAAAAAGTTAACATTGGACGACATAAAAGCGCTGGAGAGACAAAAAGTAATATGTTCTACCTATCAAATCTTTACGAAACTACTCTTTTTATATGCGATTCTAGAACTTAGATATATTCACTGGGTTAGGTAAGAGCTAAAACGTACCTATTACATAACGTAGGTAACTTATAAGGAGTTTCTGCAATCAAATTTAGTCCTATAGAAACTGTAATGCTTAATTTTTTTTATAATAAATCACAAATCTAAACTTAATTATAAACTGAAAATATAAATATTTTTATAATATAAGGGAAAATAAACTTTTATATACATAGAGTCAGAATATGTTACAGGCAAAAAAAAGTAAATGTCATAGTGCTTCAGTAAAGCAAACTCTCTAGCTCACGCTATCGGAGCATTGTGAAAACACTCCAGCCCGTGCCGGCGGCGCTACTATTGGAACTCTATCGTGAAAAATATACAAACAAATTATATTGAATATTTTCAATATTTTTGTAAATTTTGTTTTTAATTTAATGAATTCTTTAGATCGATGTCTAAAGTTTTGTGCGATATTTAATGGCAACTTTGAAATTAATTCATTCAGTTAATTTTTAATCTAATAGGAATAAAACTTGTGTGTGTTTTAGTTAACTTGTATTATATAAAATACTTTATGAAAGACATAAGTAGCGCTTTATTAATCATTTAGCGCGTCAAAAAAATTTATCCAGAAATATTAAAAAAACATATTAATTACTCAAAAAAGTTATATCCCATATCATCATACAAAACGTCACATCCGAAACCGACAATTGAATAATCGATTAAGTATTTTAACGAAGTCACTTTGCCTATTATTGGACATACATTTTTGATAACGCTATCGTGGGGTTACGTGGTAGGCCGGGCCTTATCGCGCTCTTCCGCATGAACGCCCACGTTACGGCCCCCCCTAGCCCGCTGCGCTACCCTGCGACAAGTCTTGACACTTGAATTTAATTTATTTGCTAGTTTAGTTTGTTGTAAATTTATTTATAAAAACATAAGATATAAGATAAAAATACTACAGAAATGCATAGGTACCTACTTAAATAAATAAATTGCTTAGGTAGTTCATTTTTACCTTACATCAATCTTTAAAGATCGACATATTAGTGAGCTGTGAGAACTGATGTGTATTATATTAAGTAAAACTTGACTCGGAAGATTACCTATTTGGACTTTATTTTGATATTATAAACATGTTAACAGTATTCACTTGTAGTGCAAAACTTTTATAGGGATAGCATACACTAATGGATAACTTACACAGCTTTAATGAATTTCCTCAAAGGAGGTAACTGCAAATATCTCTGTAATATTTGTGTTTCTGTGTGTAATTGTGTGTTTGAAAACACTTTATACTCTAAATACACTATAGACACAAGAATATGATTTAATCAATAAATTAGAAAATAATCTTAAAATATTTATAAGTGTAAATAATTTATATTTGTTAATTAGACATAATTGAGAAGCTTACACAAAGTATATACGTCAGTTGCGTCAGTTACGTCAGTTGTCAGTTTTATACGAATTATTTGTATAGTAAAATGTAAAGAAAAGGCGATGTAAATAAACTTACTATTTATATATAAATAAATACAGCTTTCACGGTGAAATTCAATTAAAATAAAACCCATTCCATTTCTCTCATAATATTATTTTTCCCAATTATCAAGACCGTCCTCTCGCAGTGTACGCCCCCCGCGAGACTTCAGCGGATTACGAAAGCGGACACGCCGCAGAATAACTCTTAAATAAAATTCACATTTTTCTCTTATTTTTATCTTATAGGAGCGCAATTAAGTTTATAAAATTAATATTTTCAGTAGGTATATTCGAATACGAAAACTGTTGAACCTGGTTTTCTAATGATACTAAATAATCTCATATATTAAATTAAAGATTTACCTATAGGTACCTACATACATTTCATATAGCACCGTACTGTATACATGTAAAAAAAAATTAAATGTAACATTCACAAGAATTCTTGTTTTTAATTGTGTTCTAACGATAATAAAAATTATATTCGTAAGTACTTTTTATCTATTTCTGTACGAGTTAAAGAGAAAAACTCTGCTCAATCTCCTCAATGCCACAAAAGGTCACAACCGACATATTTTTTACTATCTAGACACACCCTTACTTTGTTCAGATGCTACCCTATGTAACATTTTGGAACAGAGTAATTTCTACAGAAAACACTATACATTTTTTACTGCGCTTCAATCACACAGAGCAAACAAAAGCACAGAAAATGACGAAAAAAAGTAGAATTATCTCTAAAAGACACCTCTACCAGTCAACTCGTGTATGCGGGAAGTAGTGTTAAATGTAATATTTTATGTACCGAAACAGAAAATATAATGAATATACCTACAATAAATAACTTTTAGGCCTATATTTATTATACTTATGCAGAAAACCACATTGACTCATTGCGAACATCTTACGCAGTCCGGCATTAATGCTATTATTCCGTACATCTAGAGAACATGTAAGTAGATTCTGAACAAAATTACCTCCATTGCTAACATCTTTGAAATTACATTATCTAAATAATTTTAATCTCTTATATTTATAATATTTAAAGCTGTATATGTGTAGTGTATCAACTATCTGGTATCCATAACACAAGCCTCGTAGCTTACCATGGAACTAGGTAGCGCTGTATGTTAATGTCCCAACATTTATCTAATAAATTTAATATTTTATCTAATTCGTAAAAAAAAGATTCAAATAAAAATATTTAAAGTCAAACATAGCTTCTACAAAGTATTCAAAGTTTAAACATAAGTATTTATCAAACATTATGTGAACAAAATGAACAGGTAGGTAATGTACAGAACGGCTATATCGTCACAGTTAACTAGATAGGTAGGTATTATGCTAAACAGGGTATAAATCACAAAACGGGTAGAAGATTAAAATCGTAACTCGAATAAATCCAGCGTTATCGAGGTTGTTTGGGGAATTAATTATTACTTGTTCACTTCGCGGCGGCAAAGTTTCTGAGACTGTTTCAAATTCTTACACACAAAGTAGATAAACCAGCCGAAATTGGATTGTGGGGCTGATTTTAAATGATTTAGTAAAATTAATCTTTGTACATTGTACGTTTTATATAACGTAATTGTTTAAACATTAAATAGATAGAATGTTCTTGTTTAATTTATATGACAATTTGAAAACAAATTTTAACTTTATTCTATCTTAAATTTGAATACTAATTCGGCTGTTTAAATCCTTAATTAATTTATTTTCATTATATATTTACTATTTAGGTATCTCGTTTACAATGAAATAACAATATGTATACGATACTATTTCGACGTCACTATCGATCTGCTAATACTCGTAATCAACAGAAGTCAGTAACCATATTTTAATATTAAATATTAAAGAATAGTATAGAATTTGAATAAAAACTACGTCAAGTTCAATGTTAAAATAAAATAAAAATGCTTTCATCTTGTACCACTCAATAACCGCATAGCGTCTGCCTAGAGTCACAGACTCAACTTCGTATCACAGCTCTAAGAAAAAGTCGAACAGTGCGTCGAAGTACAATGTCTATACTTTCCTATAGGTACAATGTTTGACACTTTACCCCTTTACACAGTTCCTACACGTATATAGGTAATTTTAGTAATAATATTCTCAAATATTCCCAGGTGAAGAGCAATTAGAAGGTCTAGAAGGTCTACACTCAGATGAAACGGGTTCTGGAGACAATTCAAACGCAGGGTCTAGCGGGGCGGATGAGGACGCAGCAAGGCTACGTCTCAAACGCAAACTCCAACGTAACCGCACTAGCTTTACTAATGAACAAATTGATAGTCTTGAAAGAGGTGAGTTTGAGTAAACTGTTTTGTATAATTTAATTTAGTACTTAAAACGATTTTTAGAGCATTTGATAGGCAAATTAAATGGCTGATAGCTTTAAAAGCTTTAAAAGCCCTGCCTATAGAAACTGAATAAAATGTGTTAGAGATATATTGTATATACATATATAATAGAGAGATATCTTTTAATAATAGTAGGTATAAAAAAGAATAAATTTCTCAGTAATAATAATAACAAGCTTAACTATTGTTTTTGATATAGAAACAGCATAGGAAAATTTGTACTTTGCCAATTTGCGGACTCAAAAATAATGTGACCTGTTGCAATTACATCATTTGATCTCATTGCTTTCCTCCTATAAGAAAATAATGCCAGTCAAACAAAGTGCGACTGCACCGCGATGATCCAATCCAATCTTTCTAGATAAATAAAATGCTGCTCGTTGGTAAGCACATCACTTATGAACAGCTGGATAGATTGCAATTTTGTTATTAGTTCGAAAAAGGTTTTTGAGAAAGAAAAAACAGAAATTGTCCAGAAGATTGGAAAATTTAGTGCCTTTTCTATGGGATTTTAGTGTGAAGAAAACAAACATTTTTTTTAAATTTGGAGATGACCGCGTCTGTCGGGTCAGCTAGATAGAATTAATATGGAAGAGTATACCTACATCTTTTTTTTAAATCAACATTTAATCCTCATTTCCCTCGCCTACAAAGCACCCGGTCTACCTAATATTTTATGTATTTACCTATACTTATATATAGCTTATGGGCAGAAAAGTGATATATACCTACCTACGTAAATTATGTGATTCTTGTTTAATATATTGGTTCCAATAAGTAGAATTATGTCACTAGTAAGTAGGTATAATATTAAAATAAAATGTAAATAAAATTAGTTATAAGAATATTCAATATCTGTTACAGAATTTGAACGAACTCACTATCCAGATGTGTTCGCGAGAGAGAGACTCGCCGCAAAAATAGGACTTCCAGAAGCTAGGATACAGGTAAGCTGACAAATCTGTGCATATTTCACATACTTCTTTGTTTATTTATTATTGAATGTTCTGAACATAGTAAAATGTATACCTTAAAATTTAAAGATAAAAAGCATCTTAAATATAACTAGCGAATCACCCTCGCTCCGCTAGGGTTCGTCCCTTGGTACGTTTTAACGGTTAGTATAGATTTCTCAAAGATGAGATATTTTCCATCAAATCAGTAAAAAGTATCCTATATGTTGATCCGGATAACAAGCTATCATTATATTACCAAAGTCCAGTGGTTTTCTCGTGATGCGTTCCCAGACAGACAAACAGATAGACAGAACTATAGATTCGGCCTCTGCATCGATATAATATTTATTCTACAGATTCGACTCAGAATTTTATTATTATTTGTATAGATATGCCTTTCGTACTCAAAATGGGAGTACTCATTGGGTGGTAATTTTCATGAGGATTGGTTGAACGATGTAAATGTTGATGATCTGTAAATTTCGAAAAATAATTGAAAATTTCCTTAAAACTCCGATATGGTTCAAAATTTCAAAGCAATCGGTGAAGATACGGGGATACGGGGATTTGTGGTTTTGCACAAGCGAGCATACATATGCATACATTTTTAATTGTTAATATAATCTATTTTTAGTTTTTTATTTACTAAAGCATCCTCTCTCTTGTATGCTACATCAATGCAACAGAGCTGGACAGATTATAAACCTCATCATAATTCACTAATGTAATCCTAAAACTTAAAACTGCTAACTCTTTATTTTGAAATATTTAAGAGTACTAAACGGATAAAATGTGTATATTTTGTACTTATTCAATTTTCGGCATCTTTGATTCTACAATATCTTCTAATAACAAAGTACCATGCCGTTTAGAACGAATGAAAATAAAGGATACATTTAGTACGAATGTAAATAAAGCCACACCGGCTCGTGCTCGCGCGAAATGCGCTGTTAACGAAACCCGACATTAAGGTATGGTTCTCGAATCGTCGCGCGAAGTGGCGTCGTGAAGAGAAGATCCGCAGCCAGCGACGAAGCCCCGAGTTGTACCACCAACCCCAGGCCCATGCGCCCCATGTGCCTCACGCTCTGGGGCACGTGCCCCACGCGCCCACGCCCACGCCCCACGCGCCCGTGCCCCACGCGCCCCAAGCGCCGCACGTGCCTCACGCGCCCCACGCACAGCACTATCAGTCGCAGATCAACGTGGATGGTTATAGGTAATGTGAACTAACAAGTGTAATTGTTAATGTAATATTTTTTTCAAAATTATTTTTCCTCTTTATAGTTCATTTTTTGAAAAAGGTAATTTCAATCATGTTTCATTATATAAATAAAATACGCGAGCGAAATCGCTGACGAAACTAGTGCAGTTTTTTTTTCACTTGGGTTTGGTTGATTGTCATAGCCAATGTTCCTCCGGTAGGTTGATTACCTATTAATATTCTTATCTATAAAGATATTTTCATTATATGTTTTGGTATACTTACCTCATGAACGAATGGTTCATTCGTTCATGGCTTACCTATACATATTTTCCCATGGTATAACTGTGTATTTTTGTTTAAATCTATTTGAATTTTATTGCATGAACTCTACTCCATATGTAGGTAAATATACATACATAATTAATTCTAATGATAAATCTATATTTAAACGTCCAGCCCGCCGACTTTCAAGGCTACATAATTTTGGCTAAATCTATCATTCATAACTCTATGTCTAAACCGTAACCTAGTTTAGGTAGGTTCCAAATTGTATTTTGTCCTTGGTCATTTATTTTGTAAATTACCAAGATAACTTTGTTAAAGTATTTCAATAAAATTATTATTATTATTATACCCAGCCCGCTGACCCCGATGGGCTACAACATGGAGGCGGGGTGCGAGGGCGAGGAGGTGTGCAAGGGCGGGTTCCTGTACCCGCGCTACGAGCTGCCCTACCGCCAGCACTACAACCCCTACCAGCACGACGCCGCCTCGCCGCCGCCCGGTCAGTCAGTGCACACTACTCATTGATATCTATACAGATAAATAAAATTGAAGTGTCGGTTTGCGTTTTACTTAATGCATATGAAATTATATACGGTACGGTACTTATAAGAAAAACTCATTTTTTTTTTTAATTTGTTCCGGATAATCTCTGAAACGGCTGAACCGATTTTGACGGGACTTTCACTGGAAGATAGCTGATGTTATAGAGATTAACATAGGCTACTTTTATTTTAGAAAAAGAATTAGGGTTCCGCTCAAAAAAATTAAAAGGGTGAGTCGCTAGTTTAATTAATCAATAGATATTTTGCCAGTTTTAATAGTATTCATTTATTATTTTTCTAGCACTCCGATGCTTTTCAAACAGTTTAGAAACGTAAATTCGAATTTTGCGTAATTCTTAAGGATTTTCGATTTTCGCGCTATAATCCTTAATATTTCAGGTAGGTACGTACCTATATGTAGCCCTACAACTCTATGTTGCAGTGAAAGTCCCATTACAGTCAGTTAAGCCGTTCCAAAAATTATCCCTAACAAAACACAAACAAAAAAAGAGTTGTTTAGGTAAGTTATGTATTTATGGTATCTCTATTTATTTGAGGAAACACGGTTATTTTCACTTCATTTTTTCTCTGTGGATACTTTGATCAAAAATTACTTCCAGTATAATTTTATCGTTCAAATTCGCTTTGCTACTAATATTTGCGCTTCACAAAAGATAATGATCACCTGTAGGATCGTTAACTCTGCCAGTTGGACATGACACAACAACTACACGTCTAGTTCATTTTAGCCACACTATAATACATAGAAAATCAAACTTTCCTGTTCCTTCGGACTTTGAAACGATCATCAATAATCAATAAGTGAATATAAAAAAACCTTTCTATTGTGGCAGAACTAGGCGGTCTCCTGGGCGCGGGGGTGTCCGTGCCGCTGGCCGTGCCCGCGCAGGAGCAGTACTGGCCGCGTCTGCAGTGACGCCGAGACCCCTCCCGCGAACCCTTTCCACTAGACCCACTTCCTCGCGACCCCCTACCCACTAACCCCTTGCCAGTAGACACTCTCTCCCGCGAATCCCTACCCATTGACCCCTTGCCACTAGACCCTCTTCCTCACGACCCCTTACCCAGTACCCCCTTGTCGGTAAACACTCTTCCCCGAGACCCCCTACTCAATGACCCCTTACCACTGGACCCTCTTCCTCCCAATCTTCTACCCAGTAACCCCTTACCAGTAGATACTGTCCTCCGTGACCCCCTACCCCGCGACTCCTTGCCAGTAAACACTCTCTTCCCCAACTGCCTACCCTGCAACCCCTTACCACTTGACCTTCACTCCCACATCCAACTCCCTCACACCTCCATTCGCCATTCACCAAACTAGCCTTCCAGTTACTCATCACCTCACAAATCACACAATCACATCCACAAAATGACGCTATAATTACTTATCCACAGCCCCTCGACCCCGCGACCTAGTCATGGGGATCCCTCGTACCATTCACGTGTACTCTGAGTGTAATTTAACTATTAGAAATAATATAGCATAATGTCAAGAGTATCATGCCATATTTTCTTTTCTATAAATTATATCAAAAAAACAAATGTACCTACCTATTATGTGAAAATTATATTAAATTATTTAACTTTTTATTTTAAGTTGGCATTATTAATACTTTGACAATGTGAAAAAAGTTCGTGATTCTCAATAGATATTACACCAATTGCTTTCTATCAAAGAAAATAAATAATTATTATAGGTAAATTTAATCAAAATTTAAAAAAAAATACCATTATTTTTTAAATTATATGATTTTCATCATAATGCAGCTTAAAAATAAACTCTTTTATTATAAACTACTCCGCATAGATATTCTATTATTTCCATTATTATTAATAACATCACACAATAATTTTTCCTAAATATCTTATTTGCTATTTTCTATCCTTGATTTGCTAGTTTATTAATTATCTTCCATTTTGTTTGAAGGCCAAGTGTTAAAATAGAATATCTATACTAAATAGCTAACTTAAGATTAGTATCGCCATAGCACAATGGAGTCGCACAAATGCGATACAAATATTTTGAATACCATAAGCTTAAATACCGTATAGTATAAAGAATGGACATATCCGAAACCACTAACCGCGAGCACAAACTAAGGCTCAAATCTTACATTAAACTATTTCATTCAAACTTATATTATATAGATGATATACATAGAATGATTAAATCAAAAACATAATATTATATAATTTTATTAAATAACTTGAAAATATGGTAACATCTTCTATCTCTTTCTTTTAACATCTGTCCTACTCTATGTGTATTATCTCTATGTTTTTAAAAATAAGGGTAATTGCAAAATGTAAATAAAATATAGGGTAGCCACAAACCCCGATTACTAAACTCTGTATATATACTGTACCGCTTTGAAGTATGCTGCACGATTGATACTTTAGAAATTAAATAATATAGTGTCAAAACGTACATACGTTCAGATCGAAAATGGTCGCCAAAATTTCAAGTAAGTTTTATATGTATCAAAACACCGAAAGACTATTATTTGCATTAATTGATATTTTTGGAGATCGCGGATTCGATTTCCGCAACATCTATATTTGTTACAAGTACAAGCAAAAGAGGGAAAGAGGATTTAGTTATTCATATTTTTTTAAATATGGCGGACATGGCTGCTCTATTACGTTTGTCAATCAAAAAGGTAGTAAATTGAATGAAATATTTTAATAATAACTATACATAAGTGTTACATTTATTTTATAACCTATTCGTTTAATGTTAATTAAGTTAGTTGTAAGTCGATATGTATATTTGTTGTAAATGTTTCCAAAATTATTGTAAAGCGGGAAAACCTTTGAGTAGAGACTTTAGAAGACTTATTGTCTTAGAAATTTATTTATGGAGTCCATTTTCTTTTTTTTTAATTTAAATGTAGACGATTCTGGCTGTAAAAAAATTAATTCTTTGGGTTATTTTGTTTAACCTCAATAAGTCATAGATGGCGCTGCAAATTAATACCCAAAAGCTCTGTCGGACGAATATAATTTATTTAATAAAAATGTATATTTAAAGTGTAAAGATATAGCAAAATGCAAAAATCACGAAATTGTTGACCGTTTAGGACCGGGATAAACAGTTAAAATACCATTTAAAACTGAGATAAAAATTCTAAACATGCAAACAGCGCCATCTATGAGTGTTTAGCAATCTTATTTATAGAGAGAAAAATGTTCGTAATGATAAACCTTTTACTCAAAAACTACTTTTACAATATTTTTATACACTAGAAACGTCTACATTTTCATTCCTTAAACGGACTTACGCCAAAATGTACTAACTCATAAAGTATCGAATTAAAGACATGGATAATAGAAATCAATATTAGATTTTATACTCATGAAAAACATAATGCATTTATTGTTTAAAATTAACAATTTCTGGACTTTAGAGTTAGTACCTTTTGGCGTGTGGTTCTAAACAACGGGCTCCCTAAATCCATTGTAAATAACGTTCTTAGGTGTTCTAATATTCATTGTGATGATTTCTTTATATACATACATATATGTAGCTTAAACAAACGTAACATTCCACTTTTCTATATAATTGCAAGTCCACTACAAATAAGAATGAAATTAGTGAAGTTAAATTTCAATTATTTAGGGTATTCGTTTCGAATTTATTAATATTACATGTAAACTGTATAGGAAATATAAAATGTGAATAACTGTGTGATGTCGATGCATTTTAATGATTGGATTGTAATTATAATATAAATACATTTTTGGATTAAAATATTATCCTTATTTCTTTTCAATACAATTGTATTCTAAATAATATTTAACCCTCAATACCGAATATATTTAGTTTTCAAAGAAGAAAAAAAAACATTACAACAAACATCTTTTACCAAATATTCATTTTGAATGGATGTAACACTTTACTTGAATCTATATATTATTTTAAAAAAACTAGAAATATAAAGAGAAGGGGAATTAAAATAAAACAAAAGCTATACTTATGCAAAATTATTATAATTAAAGCTCTCAATATTACTATAACGATGTGCTCAAAACAGTCATTTATCTAATAATCTGTTACAGAAAATACAATAGATAAACTAAGTCACAAATTAAAACAAACCAAGTCTTACTTCAAACAAACAATATTAGTACCCAATGGTAAAAAATACTTATCGAACATTTAGCTCTGACAACTCAAAGTTATATACGAAAAATGTAGATAAATCGAAAGGCACCATATAAAACACGACAAATACATAAGTCAGTGAATATTCTTTAAATTCAAATAACCTACCTACTTAATCCCTCCACGACCGCGGACACGACGGCGTGTCAGTTAACAATAGATTTCTTAGAATTTTAATTAATTTCTTAGAAATTTACCTGGAGGTGTTAAGAATTCAAATTTTATCTCAAATAATGATGGCATATATATAATTGCTAGCTGCTCACCTTCGCTTCGCTCGGGTTCGCCTCTAGGAAAACAAATACGAACCTATCCCACGGGAATCGTACATTTTTCCGGAATAAAAAATAGTCCATGTGTTATTCCAGACTATGATTTATCTCTGTGCCAAATTTCATCCAGATCCGTTCAGTCTTTCTGGCGTGAAAGAGTAACAAACATCCATACTCACAAACTTTCACATTTAAAATATTAATATGGATTAGTAAACATATTATATTATTGTGCATCTAAACAATATGGCCCGATGCTGCTTTACATCGAAGAAATTACTCAATTATCCTACATATAAAAACTAACATATCAACAAATATCTATCAAACTTTCTAAATTTTCACTTTGTACTTTCAAATTTCAATCCGCTAGCAATCTATTGTTCCAAATATTTACTAACCTAGCAAATATAAACCTTAAAACAACCTTAGAAACTATAAAACAGTGTGAATCATAACTCTTCATTTAAAAAGGCATCTATGTCATTGAGCAGATCTTTATCATTTTTATTGTTTTTCTGGCAGCTGGCGACAACGTCCGGGACGTTTTTAACTAAATCTAAGTCTAGATCAGACACGGTAATTTCGTCTTGGTCCTCGCACAGATCCACTATATCTACAGGATCGCCCATTTTTGTCGATTCTAGATCTATTATATCGTCATCAGTTTTAGAAATACTAGACTCTAATTCTATACTAACAAATTGCACTTCGGTATCTGAGTCGTTATCATTTTTGTTGATGTTTTCATCGTCTTTACTTTCACTTATTGATTTAGTACCACTTCTGTTTCTAACTAATCTAGGTTTAGGTATTTCGGCGATCTTAATTCTTTTAAATTCATAACAATTGTCTACAAGCTCGTCCTCGTGTATATCATATATATCACTTTGTTCAGATAAAGTTCGCTTTCTACTCACATCTTCGCTACGCTTCGGTTCAGTTTTAGCCTGATTATTCTGCGCAGGCGCATTCTTATCAAGTTTTTTGTACACTATAGAATTACTCCTAACCACTTTGATAATTTTATTCCCTGAAGTAGTTAAAGTTTCGTGCGTTGACAATTTTCTTTTTCTATTCAAATTAAGTGTAATGGGCGTTGTTTGGATAATTGTTTCCGAAATCTTTTTCCTTGCTCTAATTTCATCTAACGATAGAACTTTAAAGTCTAACGAGCTCCTTATCTCTGCAGACTGTTTCTTACCTGCTATTTCATCGAGGGATAACTTATCGTACTTGGCAGTGAGGTTTGTGCGTAGTACTTTGCGTTCCTTCGGCGGTTCCTGTGGGAGGTTGTCGTAGCTGTAGAAGGCGGCAGCCTCAGCCTGTATCTTCTCGAGCAGCACTAGTTCCTGCGACTTGGCGTCGAGCTTGGCTTGCTCGTCGGGGGACACGTTCTTAGTGGGCGTAGAGGACGGAGCACTTTCGTTATCGGACTCTGCAAGAACACACCAAACCGCTTAGTCACTTGCGACAAACCCGAATGATTTTCGTAATTAATTTTGATAGACCACGGTCACTAGCGGTGTGTTCTAGATAGAGTCGGATCTGAAAGCGCCCCGGTGGGGTCAAAAATAATTACAAAAATCATATTATGAAACGTATTTATTTGCTCGTTGATAAATTAACACAATTCGTTTAAAAACAAAGCCAAACTACGTCTCTTCCGACCAGTTCCTATGTGGGATTAAGAGTTAATTAGCTTAATGAACTGCATTAGACACACTCAGTTCTACTATGAAACTTCTTGAAATCCTTAAACTAGTATTAACATAACAACAACCCCGAATGCAAACAAGAACCTCGCGAACTAGACACAAGAACACGAAGACAACCAAACAATATTCTAATGAAAAATGCTTTATTTCAAACAATGTCAACTATATGTAAACAAATAATTTTTCATTGGAATTATTGCTCAAAAATGTGCTAATGTTGCACAATAAGTTTAAATAATATAATATTTATATATGATACGGCACTCTTTCGTATTTAGTGAATGTAAACAAATTGAAGATGGACGATTATTAATTATACTAGAAACCCAAACATTTTTCTAACATAATAAATGATCAGATATTTATTTTAATCAGTGTATTTGTTAACAGAGCAAGCACTGTAAAATCTAGTTAATGTTTGAGAATTAAAAAAACTACTAAATTCCTCCTTAAAATCGAGTTATCTATAATAATCTTTAGTAATCGCCCATTTCAAAAACAAAATGTCATATATACTCATTGTAAGTGTTTAAAACTATGTTCTACCTCAATGCAGTACATACAATTGAGAGGGCTCAGAATTAATAATTTCCCTCTTTGCATCTGAAACTCTTTTTCAACAAATATCTTGTATATTATCATATTAAGTTTCAACTAAAGTAACACTTGTGAATAAAAAAATAAAAAGATATAATACGACTATATGAAATTATACTCTAACGTTTTAAAGGGCGAGATTAATAAACTGAGTTTAAGACCTTAGACTCCATTTTACATTTAAATATACGACATTTCTGTCAAATTAATTAAAATCATTTCATTGACATGCTCTTTATTAAAAAAATACGAGAAAAACAGTGTACAAATCTCACCCGACGACTAAAAAAGAAAACAAATTAGACAATTACCCTCTACAACAAAATATAAACGTGTATCAATGTAACGAAATACGCCCCTTTCTAGAACTAAAGGATAAATAATTTTCAAGTAAAATCATGAATTAACCTAGAAATAAAACCTGTAATATACATAAACACTTAACAGGTACGAGCGAAACCAATATAAAAACAGCTGCCTAAATAAAAGCAACCACATTTTGTACTAACAATTTTCACGAACATATTATTATATTGTATTGAATTTTTAATATCAGCGTTTTAAGTGTACTAGTGACGTGCGAGCAGAGATACGTATTTGATAATAATCGATAAATTAATCGATAATCGTGTTAAGCGATTAATGAAAAGCTCAATAATTTTTTCACTAATAATTGCATTTGAATTATAAAAGTAATTAAAATAATTTAATTCTTTCCAATTCATAAACAATTACTCATTAACTTTACTAGGGCTTGTAACGACAAATATTAGTAGTGGGTTATCAAAATTCATTTTTATATTAGATTTATAATTCATATATATTACATATATATCCAGTAAGCAAATGCAGGGAACTTTTTATCATGTAACATTCCCATTGGTAGTTCTAAAAGAGAATACATAATAAAAGTAACGGACATTTAGCAAAAAAATTGGATTTTGACAGTCCACTAATAATAATGCCCCAGTGGAATTTAAAATCCGGTTAAAATCACTTGTTTTTGGTCATTCCGTAACAAAACAAAGTCCTGCATGAAACGATCTAACATCTCCATCGCACACCGCTTGTATATGTTAGAGTGAATTTAATTCTGCTAGTAAAAAAAGTATTCTAAATCTATTCCCCAACGAGTTTCCTTCCACTGAATGTTTAGTTCCATACATTATAATGACTAGGCGTACCGTGGATCCTAAACAAATAGCATCGATCTGTACCATCTTTTGCAATTTATTAGGAACTTTGCTCTCAGTGCAAAATATATTAAAAAAATTGTCAGGAATATTCTAGTCCATTCCGAGGTGCTATTTATTGTATGGTATTTGGAAGCATTATCAGACCATGAACCGCTAAGCTATCAGTTTGATTATTATTATTAACTCACCTAAAATGTTAATACAATCTTAAGCGCGATTATTTTATGTTGTAGAATTCGCAGCAAATCAAACGTTTTAACCATTTCCGTTTAAATTACATAAATTTAAACAATGTCCGGGGTATATATAGCATCAATAATTCTTTTCAACTAGAATTACACTAAATCATTTATATACCAATTCCCTACCATAGCTATCTCTTTATAAATTTCTAAATACCACTCCCATATAAATACCAAAATATAAAACAAATTATATGAGAACTGCTGCGAATTCTGCAGTCACATCTAAACATTTTTTTTTTCATTTTATCATATCTATCTAATCACGGTGCGAAATGTATACACGAGGGTCTCCCTAAAACCCCCACACTAACATACAATCAATTTAAAGGCATAAAGCTTTTTTTTATTTTTTTTTCATCTTACAATAATGAGTAATAGTAATCGTGTATATATATTTTTATTTGTATTTATAACCTATTTATATGTACTTTACTGTTAAAGAAGGATTATATCAACCTCTATTAAAAAAGTTGCCGCGACCGACGGACAGTCAGACAGACGGCCGCCGCTCGAAACAGCATTTCGTCATATAAATTACTTCATATAGTATAGTAAATCTACAAAACAAAAAAGCTTTAGATAATAATGAACTCTAATTAGCTAAGATATGAAAGTGACGTAACTTATTGCACATATAAAAATACCCACTTCACATTTCGTCCAAGTCGGTCAAGAGTGAGCGCGACATAAACAGTCCGTGAACCCAAGACGCTCGAATGAACACACCTCTTGCTCTACGACTGTCTCTATCCCTTTATAATTGACTAACCAATAAAACAAACTAAACTTCGCTACACAATCGTCACTCACGAACTGGACGAATTCAAAAGAAAAATATAAATTCCTCTTATAAATATATAAAAATGTACTCCAGTCCGTTGTAAAACAATGTTTAAATAAAACTTAGCGAGTAAAAATAAATATTATTTCTAATGTAGTGTCCACACTTGCGGTACAATAACTTGTGACTTGAACATATTAAGCACACAAGTGTACACAAAATTATAAATAACTAGTATATAAAGTGTACAATTTTATATTTTAGTTAATGGCATTGGCACGCTACATATAAATTCTGTTAATACATTACCCGTGGAAGGTCTACCACCGGAGCTAAATTAGTGCCAAATACATTTCTAAAGCACAGTGTTAAAAGTGAGCTTTCAAAAGTTAAATATATCTTAATACTAGATGCTCACTGCGGTTAAAGAGTTCACCAACAATCCATTTATACGCCTTTAGGGCTATTCATTATTAGATAATCTAGCATTTAATAATATATCAATAAAGTTGCAATGAACTAAAACCATTGCATAAAGTCTGTCCACTTCAATTTCTTCACACAATGAGGCAAACCCGGCACTCAGTTTGAGGATTGTTTTAGAGCTTACCCTTACCAACACATTCAAAATCCGTACAGAAAAAATTAAAATGGTATAAATTAATGCTTACGCCATTTTAATTCTCTTTATAAATTAAACAATTTATTTGCTTTATACCTTACATATTGCCTACAAAAATGAATGTTAAAAAAATAAAAGAAACCTTTATTATTGTTAAATTACATTCAAGCATCATCTTTCAATTATTGTACAATATATTGTATAATGAAAGAAAGCATTATTACTAATTTTTGAATATCATATTCCACATTATTTTAAAACAATAAAGGTTTATTCTATTTTAACATCCACTGATATTTTTAATATTAAACCAAAACATAAAACCAATACAAGCACAGAATAACTTGAAAAGGTTTTTATATTTATAAAAGATACATACCACAGACAAAACTGTTAGATAAAAAATACCAATTTAGTGTACATGTTTGACATTGAAATATCATATTATTAATTTACATAACTACTATATATAGTTACATAGTACATATTGCCAAACGAATTTACAAAAAAGAAATAACATCTTTATTTCATAACAAACAGGAGTTAACCATATAAAAAAAACACTTAACACATTACTCTTAGTCGAAACACCAAAAAATTTATTATTTTGGTCAAAGCCAGAAATTCACTATCAAACCTGAACAAATTTGGCTTAATATTAAAAACGTCAACACTCAACCTCAAACCATACCTCAATACTAATAGACAAATCAATTCATTGTATCGAATATTCCATCACTAACGTATCAGTATTGAGGTACTGGAACCGAACCTAGTACATATAAGTTCAGTAGAGCCGCATACCTTCCTCGAAGTTGACGACCAGCGGGTCGACAGGCAGCGGCGCGTAGGGCTCGTGGGCGTGCGCGTGCGCGTGTGCGTGCGCGTGCGCGTGCGGGTGCGCGTGCGGGTGTGCGTGCGCGTGCGTCACCACGCGCCGCGGCAGCAGCTCGTTGGTGGGCAGCACGCCGAGGATGGCCGAGTCCAAGACTACTGGAGGATATCATGTTCATTGATAAAGTAATCTATATGTAACCTCATATATAAAATTCTCGTGTCACAGGGTTTGTAACAAAACTCCTCGGAAATGGCTTGACAGATTCTATTACTATACTATTATCTATTACTATTTACAAAAATAGAAGCTTGCTGATCCCTATTTCAAGTTATAGTAGCTCATTGGTAGGGAGCATGATGAGGATCGATGAGGCTAGGACTATAAAATTATTATTTTTTTCAATACTCAATTAATACAATTTTTGTACTAAATGTCATATTCTTAACTCATTAAAAAAATAAGGACTTCAATAAAAAACAACATAAACAAGTACATATTTTGAATATTTAGCCATTTCTAAACTACTTTTTTCAACTCACAAAACCTCAAAAACTTATTTGTTTGTAAACATACACACATAAGTAATATAAATTATAATATACACACAATGCACATCTAACAACACACAAGAATCACAAACCTTGTTGTCTCTGCTGTTGCCACAGCAGCGGCACGGGTGCGGGGGCAGGAGCAGGCACTGCTGGCACTGGCACTGCAGGGTTCATTGCTCCTGTGTCTTCTGGCACGGTGGCTTGAGCCTGGAATTTATAATAATTAATTAGTCCTGGTTATTTTTTATACTTTATATGAACTATATTGCTATTATTTGCAATTTTTTTTATTGACTTCAAAACTGGAATTTTATTAAGAAATTTTATTTTAACGTACAACAGACCAAATGCGAGTCCATGTGCGGAAAACGAGTCCAATATACAAGAAATTCTATTCCATTAGTAAGATGCAAATTCTTCTAATTTGCTAATTAGTATAAATTGCTTAGCTTATATAATTGTAATAGATTAACTATTTTCAAGTTTTTAGAATTGTATGCATTATATAAAAGGTAAAGTATCTAATATCTATATATAAATAAAAAAAGAAAAATATGACAAGTACAATATTTCACAAAGTTAAACATTATCTAGTGAATTAAGTATTAAAAACCAATTGATCCATACTTCATGGGCACATAATATCATTCATGTATTTATTTGTAAATTGTTTACAAATAAGTAACAAAAGTTTTAACTATGAGTTTTTTTCCAAGTATGGAAAATTCTGATATAATTGGCCAATTAGGATTTCACGAATTAACTAAATATTTCTCAAGTCATTAGAAAATAACGAATTAACCATGTTAAATAATGAAATATGTGCATGCGTGCATGCATTTCATTATAATATTAACTTTTTTTTAATTATTTTTTTTATATACCTAACTAGAAATTAATAATTGTATTTCTTATAAAAATATTTGCAAAATCCTGTTTAAAAGAAATAACAGTTGTATATTTACAAAGTTAGTAAGGATAACTTACACTAACAACAGGTGTTGGTTGACTAGGAGCAATGCCATCAGTGCGAGCATCAGGATTTTTATGCATGAAAGGGCAGTGCTTCTTACGACAGCCTCCTGGCTGATTCTCCCAGTAACAAGGGATTTGCTTACGGTTTTTCTAAAATAAAATCATATATCAATTTAGCATTATAATCGTTTTTCTAGTAGTTCTGTATTTTATATAAAAACACTTTCTTAAAATCTAAAACTATGAAATATTTTTTTTTTAAATTTTAGAAATGTAAAGAAGAAATCCTTATATTATTTGTGAAAATAAAAATTTAAAATAAAAATAAATTTTTTTCCCATAGAGTCTTGATCCCTACATGAAATAGGATTGATTGACATAAAATAAAGTTTTTTGGTATTTTAGCATTTTTTTCACTAACTGTACATTTTTTCCAAAATCTTTGAATGCAGTTCAGAAAAAGTTTCTCAAAAAAATTATGGATGGTCTCCTTTTTTACGTTGGGAAATACATTTACGCACGAGGTGTGGGACTCACCGGCAAAGCCAGTACTACCCACTAAAATCCAACATTGAAAATTGAATAAAATTATCAGCATGGCATAATCTTCTTTATTAAAAGATAAACCTTATAACAATCATGTAAAAAATTTAAATATTATCATTGCAACTTGAAGGAATTTACACTTTATTGACCTATTAAGATAAAATTAACAGAATGTAAAAAATATAACTCATTTACTGTTTATTAGGGATTCCCAATGACGTGATTATATTTACTATCATGATAACAAGGTTTCTAAAAATGTTAAACTCAATTATTTAGAAGTATTTGAAATAAATTAACTTAGAAGTATATGCATATCTATAACATACCCTAAGTTCCATATGGCGCAGTTTACAACATTTATCCAGACATTTTCCTTGTTGCCAAGCAGAGCACATTGTTTCACATCCAAGGGCTGATGGTTCATGACGAAAAACACAATTATCCCCCTGTAATATATTTAATATTACTCAACACTTGATATAAGAAGAAAGTTCAATGTCAGTACATATAATATTACTCTAAATCAAAATCCATTTTGAAGAAGGCAGCTACATATAGAAATTTGAATTAAATCGATTTGTTATCAATGAGGGTCGTTACACAATTGTAAAGCCTTTAAAATATAAACAAAAACCAAATGTTACATAAAACAATATTATTATATCACCTTTATTTTGACAACAAAAAATGAAAGTACTCAATGTTAAAATCATAAACATACCTTAGTGCATGTGGAATAATAATAGAAATAGCAATCATTAAATTTTCTCGGTGACTCCATCGTTTTGTCGGTTGCCCGGGCTCTGCAAAAGTTTGTCATACACCTACAATTCTCGTCACATCACATTTATAAGAAATTACGTATAGAGTGATTACGGCACTGTAAATATGTGATATTTTATTGGTAGTCTAAGGAATCAAATCGAGCCACAAAACTAAATTTTCATTTTGACAATACGTAAAGCATGTCGCGGTTAAAAAATGCCATTAAAGTACATTATACGATCTTATTGGTATCAATTTTACTCACCGTATAATAGTTAAACTAAAAATTAATTAAAATAACAAGAAATATCTACACAACACCTCTATATATCAGAAAATAATACGAATGTCACTATTAGAAAGAAAATGTAGTAGATATGGCGGACATGTGGCGGAAGGCGAACTTTCATTTCATTTCACTCAAAGAGTTGTATGACGTTGTCTATACTATACTTACCATAGAGAATATGTAAATTAAAAAACGTACTTATTCAACCTAAAAGTCTATTTCATAGTATAGATAATTAATTTTAATATTTATTTTAGGGTTTCGTATATCCTATAAATAAAAGGAACCTATTATACTTTAAGATCAATCCATTATCTAAGCTAAGTAAATTATTTATATTAATATATTAAAACGTAGGTAGGTACTTAAGTCCTAACACAAACTATAAAGGTGTACTTTTGAGACGGGACAGTAAGGGCAGATACCTTAACTGCTATAGTTACAGGAAAACGTTCCTAACTAAGGAGTAAGGAGACCATCCATAAGTTTTTGAGATATTCTGAACTGATTAATCATTTTTCCGTACAAGATGTATGGGAAAAGTTTTAGGAAATTTCTGTAATTTCTAGTACTTCTACCTTGAATAGTCCCATAGAGTCTTGATCTCTACATGAAATAGGATCGATTGACATAAAATAAAGTTTTTTGGTATTTTAGCATTTTTTTCACTAACTGTACATTTTTTCCAAAATCTTTGAATGCAGTTCAGAAAAAGTCTCTCAAAAAGTTATGGATGGTCTCCTTTTTTTTACGTTGGGAAATACATTTACGCACGAGGTGTGGGACTCACCGGCAAAGCCAGTACCCTAAAACCCAACAAAACCTTCCCCCGTCTTAATGGTCGTCGCAGGATCGCTTAAGCATTCAACCACGACGCCCCGACGGCAGGTCTGCCGAAGCAGACCACAACAACCATGGGGTTGCTCCAAGGTCCACTCTGCTATCAGAGAAGTACCAGAAGCAACCCGCATGGTACACCGCCTACCGAAAAGGGCCACCTCCCACCGCCCACCGAAGTGGGCCACCTCCCTGTGCGTTTCTTGGCTTTGCGCCCGGCTGGATTGCCGGGCACTACTGAGTCTCCCCACCACAACAAGGTGAACGCACGTTGGGGAGGATGGGTGGTCTCCTAGGAACGTTTCCTGTAACTATAGCAGTTAAGATACCTGCCCTTCCTGTCGTGTCTCAAAAATCCACCCCTGTATAGAAATGCTACCTAATAAAAAAATCCGATTAAATGATCGGCAAACATCTTCAGCAATAATCAACTAAGTATAGGGAGAATATGACTAACTATGAATTATATAAATAAAAATGAATGTTCGTACATTTGTTCTCTATACGTTTCTAAACCGATTGGATTCATCCGATTGTGATGAAACTCTGGTGGGTCACTCTGTATATACGAAAGTTTCTGCCCCAAAAAGATTTTTTTCTTTGGACGTTTCTCTTTTAAGAGGTCCTAAACCATCCAACCTCAGGGACGCACCCGAGCGAAGCGGAAGCGAGGATAGGTCGCTAGTAGGTAGGTAATAAAATACACATTTGCTTTGGCATTTTGTTATCTCAAAAAAAGGTAATCACCATGTCACACAATTATGGCCAAGGGTCACGAAAACCAGTTTTTTGTTAATATCATCTTTGCTTTACACAAAATAACATTTGATATCTTTCAAGTATATCACGCGGATATAAGATTATATGAGACTTGAGCCATCAGCCAAGTTATAAAATGCGTAAACGAAGAACAAATTTATAATTACTATAGACTTTATGCATTAGGGCGAGAGATAGGTAAAATATTGTTACGTTCTGAGTTCAGAGACAGTATTTACAATTTTAGAAGCATGACTAGGTCGTCTAAAAATATGTTTTAATCTCAAAATCATACACTTAAGTAGACTCAATTGCCCCTATTGCATATATGGAATACCCAATTTGTTATATTTCGTAACTTATTTACAGAATAGCTATCAAATTTTAGTCACGTAAAATGACTGTGACATAAGGATCCCGTTTTTGAGATTAAACTACGGGCCCCTAAAAATCATCCATTATCTTTAAAGTGGGACGGGTACTTTGGTAAAACGAAAAAAAATAAACAATATTATACAGTGTTGTATGAACTTTATTTATTAATAATTATATCATGATTTAATACATTAATTTAAAATAAATAAATGCTCATGTTATAAGTCAAGTTTCATAAAAAGCAATACTAAAGAGAATATTTGCAATTATTACATTGTTTAGTAGAAAAGTTAGAGACAATAAAATGTTAATAATGTCAGATGTAAATATTGGTGATAACTAAAACTTAATATTAACAAAATTTGGAATGAAGAACATAAAAATTGTAACTTGTTTTCAATTCCTTCCTTGTACACAATAAAAACTTTCTAACAAACTAGTTATCAGAACCGTGTCAGTAACAATTTGTAACAATGAAAGGTAAAATGTCAACAATCACTCACTTCAAAGTACTATTGTAAAAACACAAAGTGAATACAACACTAATATTATAACATAAATTTAACACATGGATAAAAGAAAATCAGTCAATTTTATTGTGGACTCATAGTTTGTTACCAAATTATATACATATTTTATAAACTTTATTGAATTAAAAATGAAAAGACGAGTCGATATTGTTTCAATTAAAGCTGCCAACAAATAATATATGCATTGTCCACAATACTCCAGCCCAGTATGAAATGGTCCAATAGGCGATATTGAAAAAAATTAAAAATTTGTACATGATAGATATTGGGAATGTCCATCTTTGTTAGTATATGTGAAGATGTGAGTTAAAATGATATAATATAATGGCCTCATCGCAGCTATAAAAGTTTTTTACAAAACTACTGGATGACTGAAACAAACAACAATAAAAACACACTTGAGTATTCACTCCCACCTCGATCCAACAGTCTTAGAAATCAATAAACAAACTGATAAAAATTACATACAAAAAAATACATGCGCTAAAGGTTGTAATGTCGATTAATTTAAATATTGTTCATGACTTATTCATTGAATTGCAAACTTTAGCGCTTGTCTATAATCATTTATACAAGCGAATCTGTTAAAAGATTACTTTTTATTTGAAAATTCTGCATTTATCATTTATTATTCAAAGATTTTACATAACAAGATCCGCTTTGTATTTACACACTAGACATAACATAACGGATTATATTATACCAATTGTAGTTTTCAAGTACAATGAAGACTACATTGATGACAAAAATGACAAAAATTGTTTTGACTACAGGACTATTTATATTTAATATTTTTATCGCTTTTAGTGATTATTTTATAAGAACTGTATTTGCTAGGATACACACACAGCTTAATAAATTTTTTTTTTTAAATGTTATCATCACTAGCTGGTTATTTTGCGTCTAGCTAAAATGGGAACGTCTTGAACTGGCAACATAAGTATAAAAAAAGAGATTAACATTAACTATAACTAATGGGGCAACCCAAATACAAAACAATCGTCACACGTGCAATCTATTCAAATCGTATGAATGCATAACACTCTTTAAGACACGAATTTTTCTAACAATAAGATTTCGATTTACAGACATGATGTAAATGGCAAGACTATACATTCCCATTACACCGGCCCCTCACTGGTCACTCTTACATTACCCTGATTAAAGATACTGTTTAATGTTTCATCTGGAAGTTAGTAATGACTAACATCAAACATACTGATTAGTCTATTTTATTTTTTTATTACTATGCAATTCAGTGGCGAATGGTGAAATTTCAGCAGAGATAAGCCGTTCTAAAAATACACAATTTTTATAAACATATTAATGCAGAAAGAAATAAAGCTATTATTATATATATATATATATATATATATATATATATATATATATTTCAAAAGAACATTTATACATTTAAAAAAATGAAATGTATGTAAAATTATAGCAAAATAATTTTAAGGTAAGACGTATGGACCCTTCGCCACGGATATGCATATTATTTAGTCAAATGTTATATGTATTGACAGATATCTGAAGAATTTATGGTAAAATTTAGCACTTATGACGTAATTTCAATACTAACTCCCAGATTATATTGTCATGTTTAATGTGAAAAGCAAGGGACCTAGGACGCTAAATCTCACAAAGGTAAAACAGTGAACTAGTACTATAACTTACTAGTATAAATAATTCTAGGAACTAACTGAGAAGCGATGAAATGAGATTTGCGGACGTTTCTAGAAATTTCTCGAAGTCTTCTAGAGGGGTTTATTATCACAAGGGTAAGGTATAATGGTCAACGCGATTTTGTTATGCTGGAAGTAGAACTCAATTCAAAATAGTCTATTCCACTTCAATTTGTATAAAATATAGAAAAATATTATAATTTAAATTTTATTTCAGATTTTTATCTAGCTATTATTTTTATTAATAAATCTAATATAAGCAATTGTAACAAAAATAGCGTGTTATTTTGATGAGAATGATTTTCTTAGTTGTTTTTTATATTTTATACAAATTGAAATACACCTACAAAATCAAGTTTCATTCAATTTACTCAAAGTTATATATCGCGTCAACCACAAATATCATGAATGAGTGAGAGCGATGTATTTGCTATCCGAATGTGCGAGAAAGACGGCCTATCTCTTAGAGGAGCTTTTGATCTGCTGCAGCTTGAGACGTAGGGCGTCGACCGCCGCTTCGTTCTTTTGTGATACTTGTGGTGTCGTGTGGAGCTAAAATTTTAATATTTTAATTACATATACTTATTTTTATGATTTTATGATTAATAGGATGAAATAAAACCAAAAATGTACAGTTCTATGAATGAAATATATATAAATAATTCAATTATTCACTAGTAAGTAAGCACCTAAGAAATAAAATAATATTTACAAACCTACAACGATTTAATTGTAAATTTTATTTCAATTTAAGTAGTTGTAGTTTTCACATACTTTATAAATTAACTATACATTTAATAATCCTTAAATTTAGTATTTTTTTCAATTTATTACAATAAATACCTCTAACTGTGGATCAATACTGTGCGCGCGTGGGAGTGTGCTCTCGCTGATCGAGTCGGCGAGCGATCGGTTGTCGTTCACAGGTGTGCGGGGTTGGGACGACGGGTTCGATTCTGTTTTTAGGCCGGCTTTAGCCTGTAAATGAAATATACGTGAAAAGAAACATAATATACGAATAATCCGGAAATTTGGCATAAAAACATAGCATGTTAATTTACCTGTAACGCTCTAAGCCTCTCCAAGAAAATCACATGTGACTTTTCGTCGTTTTCGTTGCTAATGTCTACAATAAAAAAAAATTAAATTTATTACATTAAAACATATATTTTAAAACTACAAAAACATGTTATATAAACAATTACCGATGTTCTCTGCTTTATAATCGCTCTTGTACATGGACACGGTTGCGAGTTTCCTCTGCTCGGCCACCTCGCGCAGGCCTCGCTCCACGTAGTTGCGGAAGTAGAACGACGAGCCTTGCATGAACGTCCATATATCGACTTCTGGGTGGCGCTCCTGGAATACATGGTATTTATTAGGGTGGAGAGAAAAAAAATATTTTTTTCTTAACTTGAGGGTAGAATTTGTAGCTGATAAAAAAACCAAATTTTTGAAAAAGAAAAAAAATGTATACTCAACTTTTTGAGCTATTAAAAATAGTGGGCCACCTCAAAAATGTTTTGTAAATTTTGTTTTTCTTTTTTCAAAATTTATTTTTTTATAAGCTACAAATTCTACCCCCAAGTTAAGAAAAAAAAATTTTTTTTTTCACTGCACTCCAATATTTATGTAGTTATTGTGTTGGCATTGGACTAATTAATTGTCTGCTACTATTTACTACATGACCACTGGTCCATTAGTATCGTGATTATATTAAATATTATATATTTTACATCAAAGAAAATATATACTCTATGAGCTAAACTAGAAGAATGAAAAATGTTGTATTATCTGATAATTTCATCAAACCTAAAACGACCAAAAGCTATAAAAATCAATTTAAGATTGACATTCAAATGAAAGTGTATAGTACAACTAGATACCAAATTAAAATATTTTTTTTTTCATCGCTTTATAATTTATATATTATTCATATATTTTCTCTTTATATATTAACAATATTTTACAAAGTTTTTACAAATCTGGCATCATATATATTTTTCCAACGACTTAAAAAAAATCTATTACAGATATATTTAACGGAATTTGACACTTTATTACAATCTCAATACTATTTATAACACATAATCCAGTCTCTAGCAATATCTATATAACAAAATATCCACTAACCCGTAGATCATACAACTGTGACAAAGCATCTCTATTATGTTCCTTAGAGCCAATACGCTTTAGTATGAGCGCCAACTCCTCGTGCACGCCGCGCGGCAGGCGGCCTGTGTTCAGAGCAGAGTTATTGACTGCCACCGAACTCGGCAGCCCTCCGTTGATGTTGTCCGACTGCGTGTCTTTACGTTCGTCGAGTTTTAATTGCTGGGAATTAGTTCGTATTATATATTATTGCTTTAAATAGATTATTGCTGGTTATTATTTAATAGTTAAATTATAAAGTTACTAGCGGTAGGTACGTTTTGAATAGATATAAATAGTTATTAGCCAGCTTTAGCCATACAAATTTTAATTTTTTTTCGTTAATTTGTCTGATGTTTTAGTACTTATTATCCTATTCTGGGCTAGGAGAAACCCAAAAATTGAATATCATAATAATTGATCCAATCATTCTTGAGTTATAAATGGTGTAAGTTACACGACTTTGTTTTATATACATAATTATAGATATCAATAGTCTCGTTGGTCTAGTTGCTAGCATGTACAGCTGCAAATCCAGAGGTCCTGGGTTCGAGTGTCCCAATATCTCCTGCGTTGGCTAGTCTCAGTGAGATTGGCCGCAGTGGCTGAAATCGGCTAGGATGACATTATTATATCATAAGTGCTTGCAAAAGTCTACTTGAATAAAGTATACTTTGAAATTAAATAAGAGAGAAACACATTGTTTAAGAAATTGGCACTTGCTTTTTAAAGTAAATTTATATCAAGATTATTACTATTTTAGTTATGGAATTGAACAACATGTGTAATTAAATTATAATTAGACGTATTTCTATGTGTTGAATTTAGTTCATTCTAAAGAGAATGTATTGTAGAGGTTTATTATATATTAAATATGTTAAAAAATATAAAAAACAAAGCATACCTTAAGAACTTTATGTAAGTAGGGGTAAAGATCGGATTCGTTAACATCAGGTATCTGGGTGAGATGATTCGTTATGGACGCCCCTTTCATTTTAACAAGAGTATGTACCAATGTTTTGACAGTTCTGAAAAAAATATGTTTAATTTAAATACATGTTATATCTATACTAATATTACAAAGAGGTAAAGTTTATGTGTTTGTGAGTTTGTGACATTGTAGGGGTAATCTCTGAATCTACGAACAGATTTAGATGAAATTTGGTAAGAAGATAGTTTGAGACCCTGGGAAGAACATAGGATCCTTTTTATCCCGGAAATAATCCCTTAAAAGTTGAAAATGGGGATAAAAGTTTGTATTGGGACGCAAGCTAGGGACGAACCCGAGCGAAGGAAGGGTGAGTTGCTAGTATAAAATAAAGTATTTATTCTAAACTAACTAATAATTGTATATTTTATAATTCACCTACCTATATGGTGTATCGCTTATTTCCGGATTCTTTTTCCAATAGCTATTAGGATATGCCTTATAAAACAAATGAATTTTGTATAGTACTGCATCATAATCGATGGAGTTCACATCCCATGTTGAGATCATTTTGAGAGTTTTCCAGAAACATTTTAATAATAGATCTTGGTAACGCGGATAAGCTGGGTCAGATTCTACTATTGAGTCGTGGAGGAGAGATACTATTGCGCTGTAAAAAATAAAAAGTACACATTATTGTTATTATATCAGTTAAAGAAAACTTTATATGTGACAAGAAAATATAAATAAATGTAAATTATCATCTTATATTCCAAAAAACCATTGAATCCGAATTATCGTCAATTATAAATACTGACCAATACAAGAGTACACTTCAAGATCATCTAATTAGAACTTATTGCAAAAATTAATAGTCTACAGATATCTCTTGCTATATATACACAACAAGAAAAATGTATGTTACGCTCTTATTGGAAACTTTTATATATGTATACAGATAAATAAAATTGAAGTGTCTGTTTGTAATGTAAAAATTACATCGTTTTTTACTTATAAGAAAAACACATTTTTTGACATTTTTGTCTGTCTGTTTGTTCCGGATAATCTCTGAAACGACTGGACTGATTTTGACGGGACTTTCACTGGAAAAAAGCTGATGTTCCTAGTACAAAAAATATATTTAACAAACCATAACAAAGCAGTTCTCGGCGAATGTTCCAGAACGCGTACGCACACGTTGTTCAGTATGCGCACGAGTCGTTCCGCATCGGCCGTAGGGCACGGCGTGGAGGGTGCCGCCCCCAGCACAAGCAGGAGCTCCCCGAGAAGCGACCGCAGCGCGCCCTCGCCTACTTGCTTCCCACAACCCGCCGTATCGTAAAACTGTAACAGAGTATGTAAATTTGTACATTTTCATAAAGTGGCAAAGGTTTAAATATTACAATTAAAAATTCGGGGTGTGCAAATAATTCGAACTCACGAATTATTATATATTATTCGTTCCTCAAATTCGAAACTCAAATCGAATAATTCGAAAATCCGAATTATTCGAAAGTTTCCAAATAATTCGAAAAAAAAACCGAATAATTCGAAAAATTTCGAATAACTCAATTTTTTAGTGTATCAATTATCTGGTATCCATAACACAAGCCTCGTAGCTTACCATGGAACTAGATGTTGTTGTGTGTTAATGTACCAATATATTTATTTATTAACTGTTTATACACTTACCGTCGTTAAAGCTCCAGCCAAATACTTATAGGCTGGTAAAGTTTGCTGCGCTGATGTGGCGGTGGGCGGCGCCGTGCGAAGGCGCCTCAACTGCGCCGCTATGGCGGACACCAGGCGGGCCTCGTGCGCCGCCAGCGCGGGGCCGCGCCCCGACACTAGGGCTCCGGATATGAGGGATAGAGCTCGGATCGCCGCCTGGGGGTTGTGGTATCGTAAAGTAACTAAAGTTTTAACATAATACTAAAAAAATTATCAAATATAAATTTATATAGTTTTAGGCCCGTGGTTCGCTTCAATGATAAGTGATACAGGGATGAAACTAGCCTGTGTCTACCCCGTAGTTTGGACAAACGATGCCCCCAAGATATGATAGGTACAGAATATGAGTAACATATTTAGAAATAAAAAAAAACAATATACCTGAATATCTTAGCTATAAGCCCCAATATATAGCATAGTGATTTATCTATTTTTATTTCATAGCACAAGGAATTCTTTTATTATCATCTATACATATAATAAAATTCTGAGTCGAATCTGTTCATAAAATATTTTGAAATATATATTTTGAAAACCTTATTGAAAAATAGCCATTCTTATCGATACAGAGGCCGAACCTATGGTTTTTAACATTTTTGTCTGTCTGTCTGCGATCGCATCACAAGTAAACCACTAGACAGATTTTGAAGAAATTTAGTATGACGATAGCTGGTTATCCGGGTCAACATATAGGATACTTTTTACTGCGGCAAAATATCTTACATCTGAGAAATCCATACTAAACGTTAAAACGTAACTAGGGACGAACCCAAGCGAAGTGAGGGTCAATCTCTAGTTATTATTATAAGATTCAAAGCAAAATAAACAGCATTTGATATAAAACCATCTTACATTAAGATCAGGACTAGATATAGAGTGTATGGTGTCTGCGAGCTGCGCATCGTCTATGGCCGGTTTGTGCGCAGGCGTCACCAGCGGGTGCGGCGTCGCGTGGCGCGGCGGGGACATTGTCACCATGCTGGAAGATATATATATGGATATTAAGATATAAAAAAGATATTTTCAAAGCTGGTATGTATGTTGATATGTTAGAGTCAATATTGCAGGACCGCATTTCAATATAGAAGTGATAATGTGAAGTGATAATGATTTAATGTTTAATCATCTCACCTGGGTCTTACGGGTGCACTAACATTCCTCAGAGTAGATGCTGGCACGGGCTCGTCCAAGAACTTGATATCTAGTTCAGGTAAATCTGGTTTACGTAGAACAGGCACTGCCGCATCCAATTTGGCTATTAGGTCCGGATCCAGTCCAAACGGACCTGTTATTACTTTAGGCTCTGGTGCTATGACACTGTGAAACAAATATCATAAGCATGATGAAATTTTATCTATTACTGGTAATATACACGGCCCGTGGTCCTGTACGTTAATTTAGGTCAAAGTTTATCTGTTTACGAAAATTTCGTCCAAATCTGTCGAGTTATTTTAGCGTGAAAAAATAAGAAACATACACACACAAGTCCGATTGTAGTTAAGCACCATGATATTATCGAGTAGTCGTATTAAACAAAAAGCAAAGCGGCAAGCTTCAATACTGTTTGGGGACGCAATGTCATGAGAGCCTTGTATACATATAATAAAATTGTAACTAAGCCGAATCTGCACATTAAATATTTTTTGGAAAACTTTATTGAAATAGACATTATTATCGATACAGATACCAAATAAATAGTTTTTAGAATTTTTGTACGTCTGTCTGTCTGTGACCGCATCACGGAAAAACCACTGATGGGATTTTGATAGGTATGATGAAAGCTGGTTATCCGGGTCATCATATAGGATACTTTTTACTGCAGAAAAATAACTCATCTCTTAGAAATCTATCCTAAACGTAAGTAGGGACGAACCCGAACGGAGCGAGGGTGAGTCACTAGTTTGTATATTATTTCAGACAAACAATTATAATATGTTTACTCTAAATTCTCTGTCTTGAATATTAAGTAAGGTATATTCATATTGTACCTTAATTATTATTTTCTTAATTTAACATTAGTATTAAATAATATAATAAATTAAATAGAAATAACATACGGCTGTTGTGGCAGCGGCGGTGGCGGCTCATCAATCTCTTCCTCTTCATATTCAGATGGCGCCGGCTCTTCCTGCATTGCTCTGTCATTATCCTGCTGTATGTTAAGAATAAGGAAACTGTTAATCTAAAATATTATATTCAAGGTATTTATATTTTTGTAGTTAAAATGTCAATATAAAAAATACATGTATGTTTATTTTCATTCAAGAAGATCTGCAAACAACAGTGATTATTACACTGTCTCTGTAACTTTGTAATATGTATGTATAGTATAGTTTATAAATGAATATCACGAAATAAAATGAAAATGTAAAACTCACCTCAGGAACTTGCAGGATAGGTCTTCCAGAGGCAGATAATGGCACTACCATAGACCTCCGTTCTTCCGCACTACGGCTTTTACCCGCGCGTTTGATTCGTTCTTCGAGTAGAGATAAATCCTTGTCTGATATCTAGAGAAACAATTTAAAAATATATGTTTTAAGCCAAATATTTTAAACTTAAATGAACGTTATATCAGTTACTTTGAATAGTTTATCAATGTTGTAAATAATTCAGGATTAAAATTAAATAATAATTTTATGTTACATATATTTCATTGATATAATCGATATATCAGGAATTCAATTTAAAACAGTAGTGAATTTTATTGACATTTCACTAAGATAAATCAAACATTCCATTAGATCTTTTCTTAACAGCTATAAATTTATAACAACTAACAAAATCTCTTTGACTCGAGACGATTCAAAAATAATCTAGCATTGCCCGCGGCTCCGCCCGCGTTCTGATGACGAAAAACCAAATAAAATAGCGCTATTGTTTTTTTTTTCAAGATAAGCTATTTTTAATAGTTTTTGCCTTATTTAGTAAGTTACCTTGCCAAAATATATATAGTATCATCGTGATTTTATTCTAACCAGTTTTTGTATTTTTTCTTAGAAATAAGATATTGATCTGTGATGCGGTAACAGACAGACAAAAATTCTAAAAACTATAGATTCGACCTCTGTATCGATAATAATGTCTATTTCAATAAAAATTTTAAATAAATACTAGATTTTTCGTCATCATTAAAAATATATGATCGTGTTGAAGTATCGTCACATTCTACTTTGAGAGTGAGAGCACTATAATATGTCCTGCGTATCTGGCTAGTCACAGTGGGTTTAATTCATTTATTTATTCATTTAAAACAGTACATGTATAACAAAAACAACCTAAAGATAATAACTACATTAGTATAAAACTGTGTCGTAGTTATAAGCGCCCGCCTCACAGGCGTCGTAAATGATAAAAAAACTTAATGCTACACATATTAATAAAAGTAAGCAATCAAATAAAAATACCATGACAAGAACAAAATTTAAAAAAATAAACACTGTTGGCCGCCGTAGGCTAAATCGATTAGGAGTACATTGTACATATAGTATCGTACCTGTCCAATCATCTTGTACACGCGCTCGCCGTCCAGGAAGTACACGGTGGCGACGCAGTTGAGCGCGGCGGAGCGCACGGCGTTGTCGCGGTCGCCGATGTGGCGCGCCAGCTCGCGCAGCGCCGCCGCGCCGCCGCCCGACATCACGCACGACCCGTACGTCTCCGTCAGGTGGTTCATGCATTCCAGGCACTCTGGAATCAGGTACACGATGTACAACTTTATATTGTGTGTCTTTATAAATAGTTTTTTAAAACATTTGCTCTCGCTTTACTACTCAAAGTGTGTCTGTAAGTGACTTATGTATTTATCTATACTAACATTATAAAGAGGTGAAGTTTGTGACGTCGTATAGGGGGTAATCTCGGGAACTACTGAACCGACTTAGATGAAATTTGGTAAGAAGATAATTTGAGACCATGAAAAGAACATAGGATACTTTTTATGCCGGAAATCATCCCTTAAGGGGGTGAAAATGGTGGTATATATTTATAATAAATATATGTATATACAAGTAGCACCACCTTTCATTACTAACATATCTATCTGTGTACTAAATTGTATCCATATAAATTTCAATATGAAGAAGTAACGAACATACACATACATACATACACATTTTTCGCATGTATAATTGTAGTGTGAAAAGTTCACATCACAAGCAACTATAATGATAGTTAAAATAAAACTCTTTGCTACTACTGTTGACTTTTCTTGTTGACTTTAAGATCTACCAGTTGAACGCTTAATAAAACATAAAAGATTTTTACTATAGAGAAGTTGCATGTTCTTATAACTTCTAACAAAAATAAATCTATAGAATTCTTACTTTCAAACATTCAATTGATTTTCATTTAATTTTTGGCGAAACAACTTTATTTAAAATGAAATTACCTGCTCTTTGTCTGGCATTCTTTGATTTCAAGCCCTCCATCAGATACCCAAATAGCTTAGTGACGGAATAAACCATACCAATTTGTTTGAACAGAGCTTTCACACCATTTCGAACTGTATCTTTAGGATCACCAACCTAAAACATATTTAATAAAAAAATCTATTTACTCGCTTTGTTCTAGTTAAAACAATGTGATATATATCAAATAGTATATAAAGATACAAACCTTCAACACGAGATATGGTATAAAACAATTAGCCTCATACTCTGCCATTGTATAATCACTATCTATCAAGTACTGGAACACTAGAGTCAAATACTCTAACCCCTTGAGTATAACTGAGGGGTTGGTGTCAAAGAACCGTAGTGTCAGCCATTTGAGCACTAGATCTAAATTCGCCATTAGAGCCGATCCATTTTCGTGAAGGTCTTCTGATAGAGCTTCGATTGCTTTCAAGTGGTATCTGATAAGAAACATTTTTATGTTTAAGGCTTTTTATAGTAGTTGAGTTTAGATATATTTATTCTTCCAACTAAAAATGCCATGTAAAATATTCATCAATAAAATAAAAAGTCAATTACACTTCTCTACCATCTGAATTATAGGACTTATTCATTTGGATGTACAATTTAAATTAGGCAATGACATAATGATGATGTAAAATCAACATAATAAATAATAATTCATTTTGAAACACGACTTTCTTCAAATTTTAGTTAGGCAAAAGTCCACCATACTGGCCTTATATGGGATGGTTGGCTTAAATAAGTTTTATTAAACCAGATAGGTTCGTTCAAACATCTTTCATAAACCAGTCAGTTGTCTCATATATGCTGTTCTCAAAACATTGGAAAAGCTATTCACACATAATAATTGAGGTGTAAGAATCGGGCTTTGAACCCGCTTTACTCTGTCTCCAAAAAAACGAGTGTTCAAACTGGTGTACCACTGTCACCACTTAAAACATAAAACCATATTAAATTATTTATTACCGGAAATCACTATGGAACATGTTGGCCACTAGTTGTTTATTCAAACCAGCGCTGTTCATTTGCTCTTTGAGTAATTCAAAGAATTCCTCACGCGGCGTCGTAAAGTTCCATTTAAGTACTGAAACATAATATTTTTTTATTTGATTATAATTATTTTATTTTATATAGAATAAGAGTAAATAAATTAATTTAAAAATACCTTTTAGTTTTTGATCATCAATAATACGCTGGTTTTTGGCATTATTATTCGGTAATAATGGCGTGCAGTCGTCATCTTCTTTCTTGTTCCGATTAGCGGCTGAAGTTGGTTTCACAACCTTTTAAAATAAATTTTAATGAATGTTCAATGTACAAAAATGAGTAGTACTAAATTATTATATTAATAATAAAACTAATTGTTCATCACTTGCACAGTATAGACGAATCCTTCTCTTTGGGTAGGCCCAATGCTGGAGGAATAAATTGTCACAAGGCTGCCTACAATGCAACAAAACCTGTTTTTTTTTGTGAGTTTTTCTTCTTTCTTTATTCGCCATAGAGAGGATTCCGGACATTGGCCGGGATTTTACGCATACACCATATTAGGTGGAGAAATAGACTGTGTTCACTCTTGCAAACAAAAAAATATGATATTAATATAATTAAGAGATACCTTAGATTTAGCAGGTCCACCTTTCTTCTCTGCCTCTTTTTTAAGAGCTCCTGCAGATTTGACTCCTTTCGGCTCGTCTTTCTTGGCCTTTGTTGGTAAAGGTTGCACTGGCAAGCTTGGTCTGGCTTTATCTAATGCCGCTTGGACTACTGATTTAGATCCAGGCTAGGATAAGTTGACGAAATTTATTATTATAAAAAAAAATACTTAATTCAAGACTTTAACAAGCAGTTTATAATTTTTATATTTAAATTATATGTCAGTATTTCATGACTTATACATTTACTGATAACTCGAAAAATTACATTAATTTCGTACTTATCAACAGTACCCGCTAGTAAGTATATAAATAAGCAGAACAATCATAAGCAACATCAGAATACCTTCAATTTGTCCATCTGTTTGTGCATAGGCTCGTAGCCGAGGTGCAACATGAACGGCAACACGCAGTCCGCCGACGCCTTGCGCACGTCCGCCGCGCGATCCTCTAAGCACGCGAACAGAATGGGCACACACACTGACAACTCCTCACGGGGAATCGACTTAGGCGGTACTGTGAAACAAAAATATTTCATATTAATAATAATCAATAATATATATATTACTTTTAAAAATATATGTATATTACTTTTAAAAATATATGTATATTACTTTTAAAAATATACAATATAATATTTATTTCTTAACAAGAGATAATGGCTAACATGACCTGTGAATGGATGTTATATGTATGAAGTTAAACCTATATCTTAGAATGAATGTAGGTTAATTGAATTAACCAGTCTATCATTTCATACTTTCTTACAGTATACATCAATCATACCACAAAAATAGATCTAGTGCAGTTGAGTCAATAAAAGTGTTATGTGGGAAAACACCGTAAAAACAATAAAAAAAATCATTGACACATTTTAACTATTACTTAGCTTAAAGCTTTTTAGCTTAGGATTAAGTCATCTACGACTAGTTACGTCTAAATCAGACAACTATTATTAATGCAAAATTTTGTAATACTTCCCTTGTTTTACGCGAATATTTGACATTTTAAATAAAACTCTCTCTTTAGATTATTTTCGCGGAATTACTTTGAAATTTGGTTTCTGAAGTTTCGAGTGCTTTACTTAGAGAAAAAAAAAATACTTCCACACAGAAACAATTGGACCGATTTATTTTATATTATTAATTTATTTTAATCATTTATTTCAGGCAATATTTACAAAAAGATCTTAAATATATAAATATATATAAACAGTGGCCCATAACATATTTACCTTAAAAACTAACATATATATAAAAAACTATTTAGATGACATTTAATAACTACAGACTACGACGGGGATTGAACACATAGGCTGCTGTAATACGCTATTTAACATGTATCCCTACCCTCGTGCAGCCTCTCAGCGAGCCACTGCCACAGCGAGGCGCGCAGCACCGGCGAGCCCGCCTTGAGCGCGTCGAACACCATCTCCGCCTCGAAGGCGACGGCGGCGCCCGCCTCGCGGCACCACGCGTCCACACACGACACCGCCGCCGCGCGGATCCATTGCTTGCTGTCGCCGAATGCTGCAAATTCATTTTCTATTACTTGGGATTTATCTTATGAATTATAAATTTTTACATTTAAATTGAATATTTACATTTCATAAGTAAGTGTTAAATCTAGTTGTATAATATAAAAAAATAATTAAAAATTCCTTTTAACTCAAACTAGCAATAAAATAAATGCGACTGCGAGATTTTGTAATTGAAAGAGTATTTTTTTATACTGTAACCACGTGATATATATTAACATCATATACTAACAAGAAAAAATATCTAAAAACCTTGGAAAAACGCCGGGAAGAACGTCCTAACATGTTGTTTACACCTTGGACCCATTGAAGTGGCGATCAGCTCGCATATTTGCAAGGCACTTTGTGCTAACTTTGAGTTGGAGTCCAATAATCTCGCCGCCAAGGCCGCAGGAAGCTCACCGAGTGTAGATTTTATAGGCGCTGAATTGCTTATTATAACTTTAACTTTATCTAGCGCTTCGTTACGAACCTAAAACAAAATTCGTTATTATCTCAAACAGAATTTTCATTGATATACTGTGAAAAAATAATGTGTGAAATTTTTAATCATGTGTATGTAAAAATAAGGCTTATTTATTAGTTTGTTATTCAGTACATAATATCAAGTAATATGACATTTATTTCTTAAATAATACCAAAGTGTAAAAATCTATAAAAAAGGTAATTTCTTAAAGGAAATCTCGTCAAGTGCAAGTAAAAATTCAAAATACACCAATATCATGACGAGGGGTACAAAGTTAAAACCCTACTACTTACTAGTAGTGCCATCTCAAGGCAAGTTACAGTTATACCCGTCAACCATAAAGCCCTTTCCCGACTGTTATATAAAAATACACATCAAAGTCGGGACCGGTTCACCCGCGTCGCTCCCCGCACGACACCTAGTATGGATTAGTAGCCGTGTTGTTTAATATTACTTTTAAGTTTGTTTATCAATAATTAAAATAATCAACATATTTAATACTAGCGGCTCACCGTCGCTTCGCTCGGGTTCGTCCCTACCTTCATTTCCCATACAAACTTTAATCCCCATTTTCACCCCCTTAAGGGATGACTTCCGGGATAAAAAGTCCATCCTATGTCCTATCCTTCTCAGGGTGTCAAACAATCTTCTTAACAAATTTTATCTAAATCGGTTCAGTATATCTAGAGATTACCCTCTACAATGTCACCAACTCACAAACTTTACCTCTTTATAATATTAGTTTAGATTATTTCCTATCCCTCACCTTCCAGTTCTTATCATTTATCTCAGCGACCAGCGAGTCAGTAATGAGAGGAGCTATGTCAGTTCTCGGCCGGTTGTCCTCTACTACCACGGGCTCGTCGTCGACGGCTTCGTCGGTTTCTTCGATATCATCACCCATTGAGGCTTTGCTTGCAGACTGCCGAAAAATTGCAATGATTAATTGTTGTCTTTTTTAATTTAGTAAATAATAGCGTTAGTTACAATTATCGCATATTTATATCTGTACCGCTCTGAAAGTATGTATGACGTATGTATATAATTATTAATGTAAAAGGAACATGTAATGAAAAAAAAACATTTTTTTACCTTTTGCTTATAGAAAATATAAAAAAAAATATATATAATATATATATTTAGTAAAATATTAAATTTGCTTATATATTACGAAAATAAAAACAAGCATTTACCTTACTCACTTTTCCTATTTGCCGCGTTGGCGAAGGAGGCGTACTATTCGCATATTTATCCATTTCTAAGCTAATAAGTTGCTTTGTGGCTGGCTTTTCACTATCGAAATGATTCAGGAGAGATGGTCCGACGTAGAGGGACAGTATTCCCAAAAAGTTAATAGTAGACGTCCGCACATTGGGATTTGTAGCCGAGAGCGCTTTTTTGGCGTGTACGACTATTGTTTTCACGTTCATACTGTAAATAAGCAAATATGTAATTCCAAATGTTGAATTAAAATAATCAAAGTATCAATTTTTGTATGCTAGCAAGCAAAAACGAAATCGTAATTAGCATCGTAATCGACATGAATATGTGCAATTTGATTTAAAATTTTAATTAAAACTTCATTTGTAACATTTTAAAAACACTAATAAAATTCATATTTAAAAAAGTTACATACGGCGTAGTTATCCATTTAACTTCTATTTTATAGATTATTTCTACTCACGTAAAGCCAAATTCCTTAATCGCATTAGACATCCAATTGAACATCTCCGACTGGACTTTAGGGTTCTTCTGCGAGTCCATTGCAAATGTTAGACCTTCATTGAGAACGTGTTCCAAGCCACAGCTATCTGCGAGGGATGTGAGGCACTCAGCAGAGAGTGATGAACAAGCGCTCTCACCAAGTTTCGTTACTATGTCTTGGAGAACGAAATCTGCTGCTGTACTGAAAGATTTATGAAATAACCTTTTATATATAATTAACAAAAAAATAAAGACTATATTATAAAACATCAGCTACACTATATAATCTATTTGAATGACACAAAATTTTAAAATAAAGTTAAATAAAATAACAAAACTAAGTGCACATGTACTCCATATTTGTAAAATATTGTTATCTAACAGCAATGTTTCTCACAACTAGAATAGGCCCTATAGGCATCTGTAGGGATTTATGTTAATTCTTATAAACCTAGAACTTTTGATGTATAATGTAAAACTTACGTGGAAACTGGGTAGTTCTCAGTAATATATTTACAGGCTTCCAACCTAGCTTTTAGTACTTGTACATTAGTGTCTTTTAAGCCTGGCTTTTTGTTTAGGATTCTGTATAGGACTTGAGATGTTGTGTCAGCTGGAGTGAGACTTTGCACTGTTGAGTGGAATGACTGAACTGCTGCAAGACGACTGTTCCAGTTACCGTCTCCTAGCCCTAAAAAAAAGGTTTAGAAATTTTTATCTGTACTGAACAGAATAATTAATTTTCTATAATGTTTATTTTTGTTTCAAAATTCAAATATTGAACTAGTTTCATATTTATGTTATCTCCATTTTGAATTTCACTCTAATCTGTTAAGCATTTGAAGTGCAAAAATGTGAGTGTTTTTTTTTTGTTTTGTTTTTGTAGATTAAAATGTATAGTAACAAGTGTCCTCCAATTAAGTGCTGCATTGCATAATATTTTGAAATTCTTTGCAGATTAATGTTTAATCAACCAACAAGTATCAAAACCAATGTTTACAAAATTATCATTGTTGCGCTCCGATATACGCAACGGTAGACACCGCGTCGAGTCATGGTGAGCGACCATTACATGACGGAGCAACCACTTGCAACTCAGAGCCGTGGTCGACAGGACGACCGATACCTTAACGCACCGATAATTTACTAACCTTAATTTAAACACCTTAATTTAAATGATTCATTTTTCTTTCCTTTTTTTATGAAAAACGCGTATTAAAGACGACGATTGTTAACCAGCGTCCACCATTAAAATATTATATATAGTCCAGGACCCCAACAATCATTAGCTAGTTAAGGTTTAATTTTCATAAAGCATTATTATAAATAAACACAAATATGTCCTACGTACCAGTTATAACATCCGGTGTGAACAGCTGCTCGGCTCTGGCATCTATCTCTTCCGGGGAGAGCTCCTGCTCCCGCGGCGGAGTGGGCTGACTGCGTGCTGGAGCTTTCTTTACTGCTGGTTTCTTTGCTGTTGGGTTTTGTTATAATATAAATACTTTTATTATCAAATAATGTCTATTTAATATATTAAAATCGTGGGAGTTCGAATTAACTTATTGATGTATTTTATATTTAATTTTCGATTCATTGTCTGCGACATTACATAATATATCTATCTAATTGGCTAATATATTGCATAGCATGTACAGCGTAACGCAAAAAAAAATATAAGTACCTCCACTTTTCTTAAAATATATTAAAATAGTAATATTTTAGACTAGCGACTCACCCTCGCTCCGCTCGGGTTTGTCCCTTCTTACGTTTTAACGGTTAGTATAACAATATAACGGTTGAAAAACACTAGTAGAGATCTGTTAGTTCTCACGGGAACCGTTCATTTTTCCGGGATGAAAAGTAACCTGTTGTTTGACCGGCAATATAAGGTATCAGCATGCCAAATTTTACTAAATTAGGTGCATAAGTTCTTGTATACTAAGCTATATAAGTTACTATAGTTTTTTAACTATTCCACGGGAACTTTTTAATTTTCCGGGATGAAAAATAGCTGATTTGTTATTGTCATGTATGAACTATATTATTGTAAAGTTTTATTACAATCCAATCAGTAGTTTTGGTGTACTAAGCTGTATAAGTTGTTTTAGTTTTTTAACTATCCCACGGGATCTATTTAATTTTACGGGATAAAACGTATCTAAGATGTTGCCCTGGGATATAAGGTACCACCATGCAAAATTTTATTTAAATCGGTCCAATAGATTCGGGGATTAACTCGTACAAACAGACAGAGAAATAAAAAATTTGAAAAAATCTGGATTTGTTCTATTTGTCTTCTTACATCCCCCTGACTCGGTTTTTAGCATTTTTTTGCTACGTACAGACATTCAACCTCTACTGTTTTATTATAGTATAGATAATTAAATAGTATATACTAACCAGAGGCAGGCCGTTTCACTGGTTTGGGCTGAGCCGAGCCCGCAGCGGGCTTAGTGTCTCCTTTTCCAACGGGGGCTTTTGGTTTAGCTTCTTTCTTAGGGGCCGATACTTTAACTTTGATTTCTGCCTGTAAAACATTGGGTATATTAATATATAGTTTGAAATGTCTATTTGATATATTTTTTAAAATATTCTATTAATAATTCAGCTATCCAATCGCAACAGCTATGCATGGGCTTTTCGTTCCCATAAAAATTTCTTCATTGATAGAATGGCGGTTGTTAAGTTAGGTATATAATAAATATACATCAAAATATTTTTATAAAAGAAAATGATAAATAATAAAAAATGTGCTTTTTACGTTCACACATTAAAAGACGATACTTAATTTATGTTTATCTATATTTTTGTTTAAATGTAAAGAAACAATGTAGGATAAAATACCTTTTCAGCAAACTCTTTAATCTTTTGTTCTTTCAAGTTGTCCAATTTTCCAATATGAGGTGCAATGTTCTTCTCGCCCACTAACTTCGTAGCGGTTCCCAACGCCTCTGCTGCTGCGTCTCTGACCACCGGATCTATAATGGCAAAATTATACAAATATAGTGTAAAAAATATTATACAATTTTTTTAATTAATTAAGACTACTATGATATATGTGAAAGTTTGTGTGTGTGTTTGTGTGGATGTTTGTTATTCTTTCACGCTGTAACAGATTTGTATGTTTAGCACACAAATAGACTAACCAAGGGCCACACAAGCAAAACAAGGGTGAGTCACTAGTTATATACAAATTATATCATAAAAGAATTTTAATACATAATTATTTATATATAACATGTTTTGCTAATTGAATTACTACTATTTTACGGGCAAATGAATAAAAACCTAAGCCTATTTAGCTTAGCCATAGCTTACATCAGATCACTTCTTAAGAAGCATATACAAATCAAGGCTTCCTTAAAAAAAAATTGCTGTTTATCTTTAAGAATCAATGCAAATAAAACAACAAACTATTACATCACGGAATAGGAATAAATACATATATGTAGAAAAAAAGGACTAAAAATAATGAAATAAAATAAATATTTTTAATCTCAATAACTAAGCTGCTACATCGCCGAACGAACACACCAAAAAAAAAATAGATCCGCGAAAAATACACGTTGGCGGCGAAACTTTCAGCCTCCTCCTTTTTTATTGGTTAAAAATGATCTAAAAATTAAAATATGTACTCACTTTCAATAAAACAGTCTTTATAATAAAAATGAAATCCTGTTGGTAAAAACGGTTGGACCAATTTCGCTCATTTTAATCTATACTAATACTAGCGACTCACCCTCGCTTCGCTCGGGTTCATCCCTAGGTTGATTCCCAATAGAAACTTTCATCCCCATTTTCACCCCCTTATAGGATGATTTCCGGAATAAAAAGTATCCTTTGTCCTTCTTCGGGTCTCAAACTATCTTCTTACCAAATTTCATCTAAATCGGTTCAGTAGATCCAGAGATTACCACCCCTTACAACGTGACAAATCCACAATTCACAAACTTCCTCTTTATATTAGTATAGATTTTAAAAAGTCAGAGTTCATTTGTTTGTTTGAACGCGCTAATCTCAGGAACTACAAATCCGATTTGAAAAATTCTTTTTGCATTAGATAGCCCGTTTATTGAGGAAGGCGGAAGGAGAAATGTACGGTTTCCGTGGGATAAATGTTTTTGTCCAGAAATGAACCCGAAGCGAGGGTGAATCGCTAGTTTTAAAATATTAATGATAGTTCGAACATAAAAGAATGGTAAATTCGGGTGTACCTAAAAGAGGTTTCTATACAATTTTACCTGCACTTTCAATCAGTTTCAACAACCCAGCAACATAAGCCTTGACCAACTTCTTATTGAACGCAGCGGGCTGAGTGTGGCACAGCGCTCGCGCTAGGAATATCGCGCTCTCGGCTTTGATTGACGGATTCTTATTGTCGAAAGCTGCTAGCATGTCTTCCATGATCGCTTCTAAGTTTGTCTGGAAGAGATATAAATATTTATAAAAATAATGTGATATTAAAGCAGTGGTAGCCCAGTGGTAACGCGCTCGCTTAGGAAACGGAGTGTAGGGATTCAAGTCCCGATAGGTAACACAATTTTGAAATAATAAACTTGCGTAAATGGGAATTTCGTACAAATGAAAAAAGGATAATAATTCTTATGAAATGAAAAAAAAAACTTATTATAAGTGCTTTGGAAACGTCAATTTTAAGAGCCCCAGAGTCAGTCTTTGAGGAAGCTACCACCGGCTCGGAAAGCAGTTCTGCTGAGAGGAGCCGACAAGAAAATCAATATGTCAATAAATGTACAAAAGCTCGCTAGTAATGAAGATTAATTTACTTATATTCCTTATGTAGAACGTTAGTAGAATTCATTACATTGACACACATGCAACCACGCTATTTCATACTCAAGTAATTGCTTTGATCATTGTTAATTCGGATCATTGTTAATTCCTAACAGAACAAATAGACTCACGCAATTTCTTTGTTCTAACTAAATTGAAAGTTGATAGGAGAGAAAATACACGCTCGTTCCATATTGTATAAATAATATAAATTAATACTAAATACATAATTGTATAACCTCAATAAAGTATACATACCTATGTTTTTAATGTAATAAAAATATGTACATATTTTCATATCAGATGTGTAGTACCTAGGCGACCGAGCTGGGCTCGACGGTTTTTTGAGCCAGAAAAGATATAAAAATTACGTTTTTATTTTCAGCAAAGACACTTATAGATAAACTTAAAAAGCAAAACCTTATCTAAATACAAAATTTTATCCAAATCGTTAGAGCCGTTTCCGAGATACACGGGATAAAATATACTGTATACAAGAATGGCTGATTGAATATATAAGATTATACTGTCGTTATGGTGATTTTATTAAACACGTAATTCATAAAGCAGTTAATTTTAGGCGTATATTTTTCTATTAAACAATCGTTAGTACAATTTCTTTGAGAAACCCAATGTATAGTATTTTCTAAGAACATTACAGGTCTTTCAGTTCACTTGTGTGGGGTAATGCCATGCATCTAATGGGATTCTGATTGCTAATGGGATGACTTACTATAACATTGTTTATCTAAACGCTGTAAATCTTGTTTTCATAATTGATGCAAAATGTTCTATGGTAATCTCGTTGGTGTAATGATATTATATGCTTTGTGAAACTCCATGAAAGTTATTATTTAACCATTTGTAAATAAATTAATTTGAAAATTTTACGATAGGTATCTATTATTCATTTCTATCCACGCAGTAACTTGTTAAGTGAAAATTTACGCACTAGTGATGTATCATGATAAAAAAAACAACTTAATGCCACTGTTTTTTTTCTAATTTTGTCTTTTTTTCAGAAAAAAAAGTGTATAGGGAATTAAATGTTCTATTGCGGTATGTTTTCTAATTTCTTACATTTTACTAACATTACAAATCGAATTAAGTATAATGAATCAAATAAAAATGTATTCTTCCTCTGTGTCAATGTACCTTCCATTTTCAATATCAATGCCACCTACACTAGTCTTGTCATTGTCAGTGTCGGAATTTTCACATGTGAGCATGGTACTATTCTACGAAAAAAGTAGGGTAGTTTTAAAAATGTGTAATCAGAAAACTCTAATATGAACTCTTAAATATTAATCTCATACGGAAACCATCTTAATAATTTTGAATTCTGTACTCTTGAAAAAAAGATGTTCCAGAAAAAACCTGTTTTTTTTTCATGTTTTTTTAATGTTCTTTTTCACGGTAGAAATGAAAATCTTTTGCATCACTAGTTTGCACCACTTACTTTTCTTTTGTGTTACACCTTCAATTAAAACCTACTCAGATATAAAGCGATATCCGCCACTGCTAACTCAAAATTTCAAGCGTTATTTTGCCGGGTATTTGGTAAAGAATAATTGCTATTGCGAAATTAAAAACCCATCATGCAAAAAACACGCCAGAGCCGATATTTTTGCTAATTTTGCCAGAAATAACTTTTTTAACTGGTAAAAATCGTAAGTATAAAATCGTAACTATCTACTTGTAGAGTTATCCGCTTAGGTTTGAATAGTAGGATTACCGCATACCTACTCGGTTTTCACTACCCACAGGGCTTGTGGATATCGCCTAATGCTTTTATCTCAATAAGCCTTAAAATGATTAAGCGGTAAAGTTGTTAACTTGAGATGTTACGTACATCTAAAGTATATAACTGAAAAACAAAAATAATAATTTACCATATAGGGCTTATTTGATAAATTACGCGTAAGTAAATTAAAAATTTAAAGGACCGATAATAACTAGCCGTAATAAAATTTAAACGTAGTAGCAGCAATACAGCATTATATGTGGTAGCAGATATTTCATTGAAATGAAAATATTAAGCAATAGAAACTCGGGTGAGTTCGCTTCGCTCGGGCTCATGCCTAGCTTGCTTCCCAATACAAACTTTCATCCCCATTTTCACCCCCCCCCCCTTAAGGGATGATTTCCGGGATAAAAATCCTATGTCCTTCCCAAGGTCTCAAACTATCTTCTTACCAAATTTCATCTAAATCGGTTTAGTAGATCCAGAGATTACCCCCTACGACCTCACTAACACACAAACTTTACCTCTTTATAATATTGTATAGATTACGATATATAACATCAAATAAATTACATAAACTTGTTTTAACATACAAAAAAAAGTGATAAATACCAAAGCCGCAGTAAAGACTAATCATATTAGTTGAGATCTGTTACTATTATGTGATTATTCCAGAGAATATATTTTACATGACATTTTTGAATTGATCACATTTGCTATCATAGCATTTAAGATAGCACATTTAGTATATTTTATACCACTTATATAATTCTACTTTTCACACAATATTTTTAGTTATAGACTTAAATACGGATATTAAGGACGCAAAGAGTGGTAAGACTTAGTTTACTCCTTTTTTTAAACATGTTTTTAATAAAAATGACAAAATATATAAAAAAAAATATATAAAAAGTGATAGGGTGGTCCACCCTTATCACTTAGGGGTATGGAAAATAGATAGTAGCCGATTCTCAGACCTACTGAATACGCATATAAAATTTGGTAAAAATCGGTAAAGCCGTTTCGGAGGAGTATGGTAACTAACATTGTGACATGGAAATTTTATATATTAGAAGAATATAATATAACTATAGCTACATATAAGGTAAACAATTCTTTCGAGAATGGAAATTAATTTCAAATTGTTTTTTATTTATGAATAATACACACAAAAATTAAATTATGATATACTGTAAGAAGGGCAATAATATTAAACTATTGCAGACCATTAGGAAGTACTTCATGTACCAAATATATTACTTTTGTTTGTCATATCTCAGAAATAATAAAGGCATTATAGACCAGAGTAGAAGCCTTTAAAAATAATGAAAAGTGAAAAAAAATAATAGTAGGATGCAACCCATTAGAAAAGGAGGGGAATATTATAAAAATGAAACCCAAAATAATTTACGGGTGATCTGAGGTCGGGAAGGGGGTGGGGGTTTGCTTTTAAGGGTAAAAAACGGTTTTTCTCGATTTCCGGCAAAACTAAAAGTCTTATCGAAAAAAATTAAATGGCAAAGTTGTAGGTAATAAAAAGATCTAAAACTTCTGTATTTACACTTCTTTCACATAACCTCAAAATTTATGTGAAAAATTCAAAAAACCAAGTTTTTGGTTTTTTATTTTTATCTTTTACAAAAATGTTTTTGTTTTAACGAAATTTGGTGAAAACTTACCTTTTTATGTCCCAAATACGCTGTAATTTATTTGATTAAAAATATTTATTTTTTCACCTTATTTTGAATTAATATCGAAAAAGCACCCTAATTTTCAATCGAAAATTCACCCGTCAAAATATCAGCTTTTTTCAAAAAGTTGGCGTGTTTTCTGTTCGTTGAAATCTCTACTTTCCGATGGTGAAAAAAAAAATGTTACTATAGTAAATCTTCTGAGAAAATGCAAAAAACAAAAAACCTTGTTTATTTCATACACTTGCTTATCATCTGCCTTATTGCAGATGATACAAACAGATTCATCCATACTGATAATCTGAAAAGACAAAATCAAATTAATAATGCCTTCACTATTTTATCGTGAGTATACCCCCATGAAAAAAAAATATTAAAGAAATAAATGTCAAAATGTATAAAAAATATATTATAAATATATTAAAAATCTATACTATACATATTTTATATATATTTATACATAAAAAATATGTATATTATAGATTTTTAATATATTTATAATATATATTTTTTTCATGGGGGTATACTCACGATAAAATAGTGAAGGCATTATTAATTCGATTTTGTCTTTTCAGATTATCAGTATGGATGAATCTGTTTGTATCATCTGCAATAAGGCAGATGATAAGCAAGTGTATGAAATAAAAAAGGTTTTTTGTTTTTTGCATTTTCTCAGAAGATTTACTATAGTAACATATTTTTTTTTCACCATCGGAAAGTAGACATTTCAACGAACAGAAAACATACCAACTTTTTCAAAAAAGCTGATATTTTGACGGGTGAATTTTCGATTGAAAATTAGAGTGTTTTTTCGATATTAATTCAAAATAAGGTGAAAAAATAAATATTTTTAATCAAATAAATTACAGCGTATTTGGGACATAAAAAGGTAAGTTTTTACCAAATTTCGTTAAAACAAAAACATTTTTGTAAAAGATAAAAATAAAAAACCAAAAACTTTGTTTTTTGAATTTTTCACATAAATTTTAAGGTTATGTGAAAAAAGTGTAAATACAAAAGTTTTGGATCTTTTTATTACCTACAACTTTGCCATTTGACTTTTTTCGATAGGACTTTTAGTTTTGCCGGAAATCGAGAAAAACCGTTTTTTACCCTTAAAAGCTCCCCCCACCCCCTTCCCGACCTCAGATCGCCCGTAAATTATTTTTCCTTTCATTTTTATAATATTCCCCTCCTTTTCTAATGGGTTGCATCCTACTATTATTTTTTTTGGTTTCAAAAATTATCGACTCTGGTCTATTAATTGTCTTACACATCACTCAATATTTCTTAACACATAAATATAAAAAAACTTTCACTTTTCAAAATACCTCCCATATCCAACTACACAACCTCATAATCCATCTAACGCAGTGTTACCCATTTGGTATGTCGCGACCCGGTACCGGGCCATCAAAATAAAATACCGGGTCGCAGCATTCCCGACTTATAGTAGGGGAGCCTAAGAGGGGATTTTTGTAGTTACTCAAGCGCGGCAGATTAACATAAAAGAGGTTACCTTGCACTCTATTGAGTACTTTAACCATAATATAAGTCTTCTATATAAAGGCGCGCGTCTAGGGAAGCCGATCAAAATATTTAAAAAACGTTTTGATGAGGTAGAAGTACTTGAAACCGTCAGATTAAGGTGTGGTAGGCTAGTCACATCCTGAAAAGTGTCCAATTCAATAATCTGCCGATTTGCACAAGCCGAAGAGGCAAAAATCATCATAAACTTTATAGTCGAAAGCGGAACCAGACCTCAGGATATAACTTTCATCATTTACGGCGAACTTGGATTCTTTGGTAAAAAATAAGCAGTTTCTTACTTCGCACTAAATAGCCAATACCGAAATATAGTTTGGAAAGTATTGATTTGGGGGTTGTAACTATTGAGTGGGTCACGAAGGGACAGTATGAAAATTACCGGGCCATGGCACGACAATGTCTGGGAAATACTGATCAAACGTATAATCATTAAAACAAAAATGCAAACAGACTCACACAGGGGTATATAGCGTCTATGGCCTCCCTCAGTGCGGAGACAACATTGGGTTTCTTCTCCTTGAACTTGTCGAGTATGGCCTGCACGCAGGCCACGGCGTAGGGCGCGAAGCGGTGACGCAGGGCCGCTGCCAGCGCTCCCAATAGCCGCCCGCCAAGCGCTACCAGCATCACGTTAGTGTCCTTCGATATCACCTGGAACATAGTGTTCGATTTGTTATCCCTTTGATTTATTTATTTACTTATTTAGGACTAGCAGAACCCGCGGCTTCACTCGCGCTAAAACTACACAAAAAACTTCTAAAAAAAAAACTTTAAGAGTAGACTGTCTGTAACAACTATATAATCACCTTTGAGATGTCTAAAACCTTAATCTCTCCCATGACCATGATTGTAAAATGTATAATTTATACCAATAGAACTGACATTTAAAAGTCAATAATTATGTGTTCAAAAGTCTTTCGATAAATTGATCATTTGGACAAATAAACACTGAGACGACGCACTGTCTTAAGCCATAAATGTGATCGGGTCCAAGAGTTATGTGTTAGTGGGAATTATGTTTTCGATCTTACGAAAAATATATGTTTAGTACATTGAGAATTATATTTTTAGTTAATTTCATTCTCATTCCACTCTTGACTTAACTACTTATAAATGTAAGCATTTAGACTGTTAATGTTGATGTTCATGTAAATGTTCAGAAACTAGGTTATTTAAATAAATAGTAAAATGTTTAATGTTTATGTGTAACGAATTTTAATTTAAAATGTTAACCTATTTTTTTTTAGTTAAAGATACATTCTTTATTCCATTTAATATCTAATTTGATTCATCTATAAAAATAAATAAAATTGGATTGTCTGTCTGTAATGTTAAAATAACAGCTTTTTATTAAAAATTATACACACGAAATTATTTACAGTACCTATACGAAAAAAACAATTTTTAAATATTTTGTCTGTCTGTTTGTTCCGGTTATCTCCGAAATGGCTAATGTTTTGACGAGACTTTCACTGGCAGATAGCTGATGTTATAAGGAGTAACTTAGGTTACTTTAATTTTAGAAAAAAAAATAGGGTTCCACTAATCAGGTAACGTAGTTGTAAGTCGCTAGCAATAATATAAAAATACTGCGTAGTGTAATTTTTTAAATTACTACACATTCAATTCTTGGTTTTCATTAAAAACAAACATGACAAAAAAGTCTAAAATTAGCTTTCCTCCATTAAACATGATTCATACAACAAATTGACAGGAATATCTGACAAAAGTAGAAATAATACATATTGATTGTCGCAATTCATTATGCATGCGACATGGCGCCGACCGTTCCGCCTCAAGGCTGACTGAACCATTGTTTAAATTTAATTTTATTACCATATCTTCCTATCTTATAAATCTGTGTTTTAATCAGAGTACATTTAAAAATAAGGTAAATAATAGCTATCAATATATGTAAAGTTACATGACAAGTTGAGTAACTGATTGATTTATAAACTTCCAATTCAAACCATTCAAGTAAATTTAAAATATACATATAAACGTTTATTGGAAAATATGAAAAGTTATATTTCTCCAGACACTGATATCATTGACTGACACAACTAAAAAGAATTAGGGAAGATTCAAATCAGAAAACCACTGTTTTCTATATCAATGTCTTCTTATAGACATCAAGAAGTTTTTTTACATAAAATAATTAAACAACAATTTGTAATAGCTATATACAATAATTACCTTTTTCAAAGCTCTGACCAAATCAGCATAATCACCAGGTTCCAACTTAGGGGCATTTTTTAAGAGATTGTCCAAAGAATCTAGAGCCTCTTTTCTCTCAGTCCATTTTTTATTTTCGAGTTTTTCATAGAAGTCTTTGGGTAACTTGGACAGTATTTCCACAGGATCCAGAAGGTCATAAGGATCTACATCTGCTGAGTCTCCACAACCTGTCTCTGCATCTTCATCGTCTGCTCCACCTTTGTAAATAAAATTGATATAATTTATAAACGATTGTTCATATTTGAATTATAATTGTTTTCATATTTTTCATCTATTCTTGCAACACATCTATACATTTAATAAATTTGTAACCTAGCCAAATCTGTGCATTAAGATTTTTTGGGAAATCTTATTGAAATACGCATTATTATTGATACAGAGGCCGAATCTATAGTTATTAGAATTTTTGTCTGTCTGTCCGTTATCGCATCACGGAAAAACCACTGGAGGGATTTTGATGAAATTTAGTATGATGATAGCTGATTATTAGGGTCCACATATAGCCCGGGGGAGAAGCCAACTCCTACCGGGCGCGTCCCCAGGTGGCGGATAGGGGCATGCCACCCGCTTAGAGGGGCGGGTGGTACCGGAGAAATCCGGCGCGGACCAAATGGCTTGGATGGGGCCGCTCGTCTAGGCCTCGAGCCGAAGACGTTGCGGCCACCGGTGGTGGGACCGCTTGGTCCCACAACCGGATGATGGGTGCCGATTGCGGGACTGTGGTCGCAGGCCCGCATTCGGCGGAGGGGTAGGCCGCGGCGGGAGAGGAGTGCCGGTATTTCGGTGCGCCGATCTCCCTACCTTCCGCGGCCTAGACGGGGCCGCCACCGTTTGATGGCGGACGCGGTGGGGCTGCAGGGGAAGAGGAGTGTCGGTGTTTCGTTGCCGCTCTCCCTGTCCTCTGCAGCCGATTGGAGGTGGCCCACTTCGGTGGGCGGTGTTTGTGTGGTGTGGGGCTGCTCCGGGTACTTCTCTGATCAGCAGAGTGGACTTAGGAGCGGCCTCACTTTTTGGGTTGTAAGTCTTCCCATAATGGGGTTGTCCCGCTTGGGGCGGCCTCATGGTTGGTGGCTTCGGCCAACCGTCGGGGCGTCGCGGTTGCATGCGAGAGCGACCCCGTGGCGCCCCACATGGCGGCAGAGGGGGAAAGTTGGGTTTTAGTGGGTATGCCGGTCTCATTAGCCGGAGAGTCTCCACATAACCACCCTGGGGGAAGTCGGGTAGTATCCGTAATAGGATTTCCCAACTATAAAAAAAAAAAAAAAAGGGTCCACATATAGGATACTTTTTACTGCGGGAAAATATCTCATCTCTGAGAAATCTATACTAAACGGTAAAACGTAAGTAGGGACAGACCCGAGCGGAGCAATGGTTAGTTGCTAGTATTATATAAAAAATAGAAAAAAATAATTAGTAATAATTGAAAATTGTGTTATTATAAACATGGTTATTTATAAATCATGTATGTTAGTATCAAATGTTATACATATTAAACATCATTATAAGACTGTATCTACATACTAACATAACAATAATTTTGTCTGGTTCAGCAGCTATTGTGGCCTTCTTATTATTATAATTTTGTTTTTAAATAATTTTTGTAAAACAGACAATATTAAATTTCCTAGCGTAGTTCAACAGTTTTATTAAGTTCCATATTTTTTCAAAGGATGAGACCTGGCCCACATCTTTGACTTAATTATGTCCAAAAATTTTGGGATTAATAACTAAAGATTTACTTGAATATTTAAAGTTGAAAATAAAACTATTTTATCTGATATTTTTGCAGTCTAATTTCATTGTTATTTTATTTGCTATTCCTTAAAGCAGTTTCGAATACTTGAAAGAAAACTCTCATGCTCTCCCATTTGCTGTATCATATAAAAATATCCCACTTTATATAAAAGTGTAACACAAGGACAAACATACCATCAGTAGCATCATTTGCAGGCGTAGCACGCACACGGCTCTGCTGCGAGCGGAGATAGCGCGTGGGCGACGCACTGCCAGTACTACCGAAAGCCTCACGCAGTTCCTGCTGCACCACCGCTTGAAGAGACGCTATGTGGGGTTCTATTGCTGCTCCGATCCATCTAGAATGTTATGGAATGTCCATTGTAGGGCTGATTGGGCTAATATTAAAAAGGGGAAGGTGTGTTACTCTTTAATGCTGAACTGATTTGAATGAATTTTTTGTATATATAGACCATAGTGACCTGGAGTAGAACATAGGTGACTGTTAGGCACATGAAGACAAGTGAAGCGAGCATTAATAGATAGTTACCGATAAATTTACTTAATTACATTATTTATCATAATAAGCACATGAAATTTTATTTAGTTCAAATTTGTTTTATTATGTGCATAATTTAATGTCAACTTAGTTCAGTACTGAATTATTAAAATAAATTTAATTTTAAATTTGATACTTTATATGTAATAATAAGATGTTCAATGTTCTTTATTCTGTGGTATAGGCATGCCAATTGGGCACAATTTACTTCGTCAATGTAGTTTAGAATGGAAAATAATAAGATATGTAGTACTATCACAATAAACTGTTAAACTACAAACCTATGCATTTCAATGACTAGTGCTTTCATCTCATCTCTCACTCCCTTATCTCTATCGGCGAGTAAGATTGGAATTTTCTTGACCATCGGCTTTATAGCTATCACTTTATTACCAAATTGTTTGAGAGCAGTGTTTAACGCCGCAACACATGCTGCTACTACTTTAGGATTCTTCTGTTCCATGCCTTTTAGGAGTTCTTCTTCAACAATCTCATGTTTTTCAATCTCAATGTACATTAAAGTTACCTGTAAATAAAAGGGAAAATTCTATTTACTTCTATTTTTTTAGTGTAGAGTTCACTAGTTGCATCTTATATAGAGTGAAATTCACTTATAAATGTGTTTTAAATTAAATCTATATTGTTATTTTTTGTAATTTAATAGTATTATAATCTATACATATAATAAAATTGTAACTAAGCCGAATCAGTACATTAAATATTTTTTGAAAAATCTTATTGAAATAGACATTATTATTGATACAGACACAGAATCTATAGTTTTTAGAATTTTTGTCTGTCTGTTACCGCATCACAGAAAAACAACTGGAGGGATTTTTATGAAATTTGGTATGGTGATAGCTGGTTATCCGGGTCAACATGTATGATACTTTTTACCGCTGGAAAATATCTTATTTCTGAGAAAAAATACAAAAATTGCATTGTAAGAGTACACTTATATGTAAAACCTAAGAATTTCCTTTTAGGTCACAAGAACGCGGGCGGAGCCGCGGGCAATAGTTTATTGTAATTTTTATAATTTCATACTACAGGACCACAGGCTTTAATCACCATCTAAATACATAACACAAATATACCATGTTGGTTAAAGATTTTAGATTTCTTTTCATACTTGACTGATATTTACTATTTTTTTAAACATAAAAAATTACTTGATTTGAATCTTAGAAATAAATATATCAATGACATGGAGATCATATAAAGCTAAATATTGATAAAATATATGAGATCATCCATTTAATTTCTTTAAAGATAACTGTATATTGTGATAATATACCTGTAAAGCAAGGTCTTTAGTCTTAGTCTTAGGCGCTGCAATACATTTGGCTACAATACCGGACATCACCTCGCCGGTAGTTTTGCCGGCATGACCGCAATTCTCCACAAACACTAATGCTGCTTCCAAACCTAATGAGGAAATAGACCAATAAACTACAGTAAGCTTATGAGAGAAAGTTTAACCACATCGTTTTCATGTACCACTTGCAATGTACATTTTGTTATAGACTTTTGAAATTCCTATTAATTAATTCATAAACAAAAAAAATATTTTAATAGATTAATTATCTACTTTCATCTTTAATTACTTAATTTTTATTTGTTTTCTTACAACCATAATTGTAGCTTAGTATATTTATCAGAGTGGTCTTTTTATATTTAAGAAAAAATGACATTTGTTGGCCTTAAAATATTGACTATATCGAGTTAATGAATTTATTATTGAGAATATCTACATAAATATAAATCTTATAAAGAAAATGGAGACCACCTTTTCTGTTAAAGAATTGTTATATCATTTCCTACAAAATTGCAGCTATTACTTTTTCTCAAATCCGTATACTTTAAGAGATATGTAGTTACTACAATTTCATCAAAAAAATAACTAAGATCGTCTTGAGGCATGTGTTATTTTTGTTAACAAAAAGAAAACTCAAAAAAAAAAAAAGTTTAATGTTTAATGACCACCCTAAATTATGTATATGTAAGTAAAAAGTATGACTTCATAAGTTTGGTTCATGCATAGTTGTATTTTTTTAGTAATACATCTCTTCAAATTTGATCCCGACAATGTACAAAAAAAGGAATCTCTATGATAATTTAGTTTCTTTTACATTGGAAGGCAGAAGGCAGACTACGAAAAATATTGTATTCTCTGGCTACCCAGCGTATAAGAACAGGACACATAAAATAGATATCTATATATATAAAAGAAAGTCGTGTTAGTTACTTCGCTTATAACTCAAGAACGGCTGAACCGATTTAGCTGAAAATTGGCAGGGAGGTAGTTTAGAGCCAGGAGAAGGACATAGGATACTTTTTATCCCGTTCGACCGCGTTCCAATTTTTATGATATTTTAATTTTTGGATTTCTCTTAGTCCGGAATAGGTAAGTATTAAAACATATAATTAAAATGTGAGAAAGAAAGATTTTTTCTTTTTATATCTATTTAAAACGTACCTAGCGACGAACCCGAGCGAAGCGAGGGTGAGCCGCTAGTTAAAATATATTTTTTAACAAAATGAGGATGATAGATGCTTATTGTTTTCAAGAAATATTACATTAATCATACATCTTCCGACCTATTTAGGTTATCAATCATAATAATTATTAAATTGATCTCGGAATGACCATTTCCTGCCCATTGATTGTTATTAAAGGAAATTTAAGTCCAGACATCACAATTTAATGTAACGAAAACATGACTAATATATGAAGTTTATTGTATTAAATATATTCTTTAAACAGTATCAGAAAACCACATAAAAATAAGTTTATTTTTAACTAAAATAAGTTATAAATATAAAATAAATCAAACCTTTTTCTTGTGCAACAGCATTACTGTCTGTTACAAATTTCTTTATTAGACCTAAGAATTTGTTCCACTCTGGTGATTTCTCATCATCAATCTGATTAAACAATTTAATAGCTTCTTCATATCCAGCAACTCTTGCTTTCCATAGTTTGTGAACACATTTTTCTTCTGTCGGTAATTTCTTATATTCATTTTCATCCTCCATTTTTAATTATCAATCTGCAGAAACCATAAAATTGTAAATAATAGGTGTAATATTTTTGAAATAAAAATACTCTTATAAAGTTTTACCAGTAAGCAAAGTATTACTAGACGTATATTAAGATTAAGATAACTAAAAAACAATTATTGTCTCTAATTTCCCATTAACCATATAGGTTTTATTAAAATTTTAACAATTTTAAATCAAACAAAAGACAAAGTAATTTATTTTATATGCAACAACCCAAAGTAGAAGCAAATCTAGTGAGCTTTAAGTTAAAATCAATATAAATTGTAAGATTATTCATTGTATTAGGTACTTTATAAATCTTACAATGTTAGATAAGTAATTGTGTATTACAATAGTAGACTATACAAGTATCGAAAAGCTTTCCTTTTTAAGTTCTTATGACTTTACCTTTTAAGGCAATGTGAGCAAAGACACTTTGAAGTTGTATTTACATAGTGAGGATTCTAGTTAGCCGTGAAAATAATTTGTACAATAAACATGCACTAAATATGCATACATATGACCTTTCTTGTGTATCCCTTACAAGGTCAAGGATTGCAGGTATGCACTGCAGCATGCATATATGTATTGCAAACTGTTTGTATATACTATACAATATATTTAAATAAATGATACTCTTATGTTCTAGCTAGTATGAATATTTTTACTTTAATGCACCTAATAAAAAGTAATAAAAAATAATTTTAGATTTATATGGATTATAAAACAAATATTGATATATACTACATAATGTACAAAAATAATATTTGATTGTTGAGTAGTTGGCAATTTAAGAACTTAAAAATAATGAAAGAAATACACAAATTGCTCGGAAATGATGATTCAACCATCCAACGGTTGTCTTGCTATGACAATGGCTACCTGGTAAATTTCACGCAACTGTTCTCATTTAGAAGCCGGTTCATTAATAACCATATCGAATATTAACCGAGATGTGAAATTGGATCACATAAATACATTGGGCAGACGCCCGACAACGGTCACTTTCTACAAACAAACAAAATACCTCGAATGCAGTCAAACTTACCGTTATGCAGATGTTCTTATTAAGTCAAGGATTTTGAAATAGGAAAATTAAAATTGAAACACATTAACAAATATTTCACATTATCTAAGCAAAGCAAATGTTTTAACCGACAAAAAGAAATCACTTTTCGACGTCGTTTTTTTTTGAGTTTGCAAATTGATAGAAAATGGACGTATATATAATGTCGCCATTGAAAAAAATTATCTATTTCTTTTTAGGTGTCAAAAATGTTTTACGAAGTATATTAAATTAAAAAATTCGTAAAAATAAATGTAGTAATGTCTCAGAACAGAAAATAACAATTAAATATTTTCTGAGGGCTGCGATTTATTGTAGATTTTATTTTCTCCTTAAGTTCATTCATTCTTTTCCTCTAGTCTATGATCACCGGTATGTTTTGTTTTTAAACACCATTCAAATGCTGTTTGACGGGTGGAGTTGTGTTCATTCATTCAAACATTTAGATGGTTTGTAGAGCGTCTGAGGACGAGACGTGTGTCACGTTATTATCGTGACTGCTGTGCGTTCGCAGTTCTTGCAACCGAGAATTATTTATATCATTTACAAGTTCCGTTTTCTTTTTGAGTTTGTGCATCTTAAGTTTTGTTATTGATTTTAAAGGTTGCACAAAAGTGAATAAGACAAAATAAACAAACGGTAATGTTGTGTTTTCGTTTGGTATCGGGGAGAGATTACGTTTACAACTAGCTGCAAAGGGAAATTTTAACAGCTGTTCGTGCATAGTATGCTTCATATTGTAAGTAGATACAAATTAATCTTATTACTTTAACTTATCATGCATGATTCACAAATTTACAAGTACAAAAGTACTTACAAAACGCCAGTGGACCAGTGGCCCAAGAGCGGGTAATTTATTATAGTATTTTAGTCTCCTTTTAAAGCACTTTTAAAAGAAATGTTATCTAGCTGCTCGAAAAAGATGTTTTTATGTTTTCAATTATACAGTAATAATATCATGAAAAGAAAAAAGTAATTCGTACATAGAGTAGTTTATAACTCTATAATACTAAATAAAAACATTATCCCTGTTAATAGTACTTGTTGTAATTATTTTACGAAAGAACAATAGATTGTAAGTCAAAATTCTACGATGTACCTACTTAGCTAAGAAAAAGACGCACATAAAAGCTTAAATAACAATAATTACCCAAAAGAAATCTATTGCAAGTATGAAAAACAAAGAAAAGAAAAAAAACATAATATAAAAATAGGACTAAGCATTGTAAAAATCTTGTTATACACATATTGATAAGTGAAATTTGAAATTTAAATTATTTAAAAATTTTAAGTTTCAAATACATACTTTAATGCTAAATAATCTAATTGTAGTCACTAATAAATGCTAAGTACCTATCATTAATTTTTATTTTACGCCTTTTTGTTCATACTTACAATTACATAGTGCGTTCTGAAATATTTGATTTATTGTTTGTTATTTAATTTATATTATTACGGATTAACTTATTTATGCAGTAGTATTCAAGTACGTCTTTGTGACGACGCATAGCCTTTAATCGAATACGACGATATGGACGCATAAATAATTATTTACGCATTATTTTAAGGAGTACAAGTAAAAAGTATGTGCCTTTAAGTTCGCGCTTATCATTAAAATGCATAATAACTTCATTGTAACACAAAAAATATATCTAACTAGCAACAAAAACAAATTTTCCCACGGGAACATACATTTTTCCTGGATTATTATTATGTATGTGTTATTCTGATGTATGAGCTATATTATTGTAAAGTTTCATTAAAGTCTATTCAGTAGTTTTTTCATGGAAGAGTAACAAACATCCATACATTTATACATCCAGACATCTATAGATCCTCACAAACTTTTGCATTTATAATATTAGTAGGATTATCTAACAAAAATAAAAGGAATAATAATAATATTTTTATTATTTATGATAAAAACATAACAGAGTTGTAAAGGATTTATTTAAAAATATTTGAAGGATTAATTATTATCAAAGAGGAATAATATTTTCGCTTACACTTTAAACAATGTTTAAAAACTCAACCAACTTCCAATATTTATCACACTGAAGTATTTAGTTGGAAAACTCTTTTTTATATAAGATTTTATTTTTCTTTTTACTACTAGCAGAATCCGCGGCTTCGCTCGCGCTAAAACTCCAACAAAATCTCTAAAAGGGTAGTTCCATACAAACTTTCATCCCCTATTTTACCCCCTTTAGGATGAATTTCGAAAAATACTAAAACACGTATTTATTTATTTTTATGGAAGAGCATTAAGTAATACCAAGTAGTTCAAGTAGTTCAAGTAATTCTTATCATATATTTTTTTTGGATTTTACTATAACGTGTTTTCCCGTGGGAATTAGATAATCTCCCGCGGTAAAAAGTAGCCTCTGTCACTCTCTAGCCCTCCAACTATCTCCAGACAAAAAATCACGCGAATCCGTCACTCCGTTTCGACGTGAAAGAAGGACAAACAAACACACTTTCACATTTATAATATTAGTATAGATATTCTTAGCAATCGCTTTATCTGTTTATTTACATTATTATTATTTCCTATAAAGACATTTATAACAATTTTCTTATTCAAGTATTAATGAAATTGTTCGTCTTTATTCTTTTAGTCTTTAGTTTTAAAGTAGTACATAATTCATGAAAATTTTTGACATAACATGCTTTCGGAATCTTAGCAGTATAATTATCGTACGATTAAATATTGTTTAGATTTCTTCTTCCTAAAGTGCCATCTTCTTTCGAAGGTCGGCGATCATTAAGGCAACTTGTAGGTATCTTTAATGCCGCGGCTCTGAATAAGGAACGGGTGCTTTTTCCAAACCATTGGCGTAGGTTTTTTAGCCAAGATGTTCTTCTTCGATCCACACTTCGTTTTTCTTTGGATCTTGCCCTGTATGATGAGTTATAGTAAGTCGTTTTTTCGGTTTCTCATTATGTCGAAGAGATATTCAAACTTTCTTTTCTTTACTAAATACCTACATATACAACTTCTGATTTTTTTGTTATGCGACTTAGCCCGGTTATGTTTTTTATTTTGTCTCCAGGATATCCTTGACATTCTCCTGTATACCCACATTTCGAAGGCTTCAATCTTGTTACAGCTCGATTCTGTGCCATACAAGAGAATGGAGAAAACATAACAGCGTGCTAATCGCACTCGTAGCTGGATGTTCAGCTTTTTTTGCACAGAATTGACTTAAGCTTAAAGAAAGCATTCCGGACTTGTTCTATCTTTATTTCAAGACTGGTCTCCCGTATCATCGATTCAGCATCTCAAATATTTGTATTTGCTAACTTTTTGTAGGGGCTGTCCATTACACAGTAGAAAAGGGTTAGCAGGTGGTATTTTACAAACTGTCATATATTTGGTTTTCCTGGTGTTGAACTAACAGACTGATTTTTATCTGTAAGGATCTGAAGCTCTTCCATAGTAGATGTAAGGAGGATGTTATGGTCATAACGGATATTGTTAATAATCTGAACCTTATTTGGATTACTAAATGTAATGGCAACAAAGTATAATCTTTGGCACGCAACCTAAAGCCTAATCCTTTTTCTTAAATATAAGCAGCCTAAGTTATTCCTCTTAACATCAGTTATCTGTCTGTGAAAGTCCCGTCAAAACCGATCCGGTCGTTTTGGAGATTAGCCGGAACAAATAGACAGACTGACAAAAAAATTAAAATTGTTTTTTTTATTATAAGAAACAGTACTTAGACTATAAAGTATAAGTATACATTATATGGATAACGTACTTATACTTTCTATGCATTTAGTAAAAAGCTGTTATCTTGACATTACAAACAGACACTTCAATTTTATTTATCTGTATGTTGGTAGATGGACTAACGCAGATTAGGTTACGAACTGCGTTTTCATCAATTGTTGTTAAAATATATGGTACTACAGTGTTAGTAAG